CGCGGCGCTACGCGCCGCGGTTTTTTATTTATACGAAAAAACGCGACAGGGTGGTAACATATGCCCCCCCACTGTGGCGAAGGTTAACCGGCCGTAATTGTCGTCTAACCCACACCATTGAATTCTAAAAGTAAAATTGGCCATAACACATGTATCATACGACCCACGTACAGTTGAGTCCACATTATGACCTTTTATGACCTGACCTGGCATTAGTGACCTCCTAAGCAGCATATGTATTTAGACGACCAGCGCTGCATCGATGATTTTCGATAGCATGCCTTTTATTCGATGTTGTAACGTATTCCTTAGAAAGCCCGTAATCAGTAAAAAAATGCGACCTTTAACCTGACCTGTGACGTCATCGGTTGCACCTAGGTCAAATAACCTTGATCACAAGGTAGTTTTCTGGTGACGCTATCGAACGCCGTTTGAATTTTAAAGTCGGTCGGTAACTTATTGATATCTGGGGGGGGGGGCGAAACGTCCCCCCCCCAACGGGTGGTAGGGTTCGCCAGTAGCCCAACGGCCCCATAGCCCCACGATCGCCTGGGAGGGGATCGGATCCGACCCCATCCGTTATTCTTAAATAATGCATGAACCGTTTAACCCTCGCCCCGTTGGGGGGGGCATTTTGGCCCCCCCTGTGGTTTTTCCTTAATAGCAAGAAAACGGCGGCGCGCAGCGCCGCCAAATTTTCAGTACCTTTCCGGGCATCAATTTGACACCTTCACACCAAATTTCAAGTCTTAGGTCACCTTAGGTCAGGAGTTATTGAGGTCAAACTGAGGTCATGTTCGAGCAAAAATGAGCAAAAAACATGCAATCTTGAAACGCTCACCAAATCTACAGTTATCAAGCAATTTCAAAGTTCTTTATATGGTCTAATAGACAAAAAGCGGCGCTACAAAACTGCTATCTCGGATTTTCAAAATTTTGGGTTTTTGACCAAAAAAAAAAAAATCAAAAAATTGATTTTTTTAGAAAAACTAAAAACAAATCCAAAATTTTTCCGAATTTCGAAAAAACCGGAATATATGTGATAGTCCCTGCGCTCTTCTATATACATACCAAATTTCAGATCGATATCTCGTTTTTTGGCCAAGTTATAGCGAAAAAACTGTTCAAAAATGATGACGTCAAATTTTTGAACTCAATTTTTAGCGATTCTAGATCTCGTACGGCAAAACAAAGACCACCATTGAACTCCCCGTGACGAGCTGCATCGATTCGATACCCATTTTATGCAAAAATATCAACTTTGAAATTTGACCTTATTTGACCTGACCTTGACCTGACCTGACCTTGACGAAAACGTGACCTAAGCTGGCCCCAAAGGCTGCCTGACCCACATAATCGCATTTGTCATGTAAAATGGACCATAAAACATGTATCACACGACACTTTCATATTGTGACCCCCTAGTGACCTGACCTCAGTGACCTGACCTGGTATCAGTGACCTCAACTAGCAAAATATGTGTTTGAAGAACATTTCCCCATCGATGATTTTCAATGAAATGCATTTTACTCGATTTTACAACGCATTTCTTGAAATGCCTGTAAACGGTGAAAATTGGACCTTTGACCTGACCTGTGACGTCATCGGTTTGACCTAGGTCAATAAAATTGGGTCACAAGGTAGTTCCCTGATAGGGCTATCCAACACCATTTGCCGCTTGTCGCTACGTTGCGTGGTTCTCGAGATCTTAGGGGGGCCAAAATGGCCCCCCCCCCCAACGGGGCGCGTTGCTCGGCAGAGCCCAACGGGGCGCGGGTTAAGTCAGCAACGTGAAATTCACACAACTATGTAGAATATCCAAGACAGGATAAATGATAACAATAACACGTCAAATGTATATTTAAACACACAAAGCTTTCGGTATGAAAATACCTTGATCACTGTGTTAACAGAAATGAGGACAGAAATTGTCACCGGCAGCTTGTACAAAAATATAAAATAGCACTCGAAAAGTAGATCACAATCACGAGATTATCTATCGGGGTCCTGCCACTAAGCTTACAGCGCATGTTGCTAAAGTTATAAATCCAGTCCTAGTATTGATGGTATCGCGTGCTGATATGTGAGCCGCTTCTAAGATTTTTCGTGTCGTTTTTCGTGCGCCCTTCTCTAATAATCGAGTTGCTCCCCAGTTCGGTAAATGATGAGATTGTTCGGCATGTACGACGATTGCGTTCGATGTTCGATGAAACTTAAGGTCACTTTTATGTTCTTTAAGTCTCGTTTCGACCCCCTCCCCGTTTCTTCCACGTAGCTTTTGTTACACCCACCACAAGGAATTTCGTATACTACACTTTTCGGGGAATCGGATGTGTCGGACGTCTCTTTCGGTCTTCGTTTAATCATCTCGTGTATCTTCGTTCCCGTGTTCGTTGCTACTCGTACGCCTGTTGCTACTGTTGCTACTCACACAACTATCTTTTTCTTCATCAATTTGACTCCTTTGTGAAAGGTTTAACCAATTTGATCGACAGCTTTTTCAGAGATAACTATCCACTTTAGAGATCTAACTATGCAACACTTGGTCAAAAATGGTTTGAAAAATCTTCAAAAATTGAGAACAAGCAAAATCAAAACAAATAACGTCAAAAGCTGTGCTAAGTACTTACACATATCATGTCTTGAAAATTGCATTCTTAGATTTGTCAAAATATGCGTTTTGGGCATCCTTGAAATTTTAAAAACTTACATTTTGGACCTATCTGCGGATCCCAAGTCCAAAGCTGCATGACTGGGATGACCTGGGATGACCCCTCAGTGAGCAGTATTTCGTGCAATAAAAGAATGGTCTGAATAAGTCCCATTTGGCGAGGTGCGTTACATTAAAATTCACGAGAACCATTGACATTCAGCTGCTTCACGATAAACTTGCAATATTGATGACATAATCGACGTAAAGGAGACATATTTGGCTTCTTGTAAAACGATTTAGTACATTTCCTCAATTCTTCTGATTTTTCGGCGGTATAAAATGCGTGAGTTGTGCACAAATTGTATGCCTCTTGAAACATTCGTATCAATGCGGTTCCCGTTCGTTTTGAAATATTTCTGCTAAAATGCGCAGCTTCTAATAACAGATAACATATCGAATAACATTCTCCAAACACAGACATGGAACACACATAGCATGACGTACGAAAAATTAACAAGAAATGTCTCGTATTTGGCTACAAATATTTCTCATTTTCTGCGTCACGAGCGTCAGTCAGTCGAGCCCGACTGGTTCGCCCTCTCAGCTGGCGTGCCGGTCACTGCTGGAGAGGTCAGCCACCTGTCAGATCACATACACAGGCTGGCAGGAGCTGACCGAGTGCCTCCGCGGCGCCTCGGTACACGTGCCAGACATAGAGGAGGCCATCACCTGCACGTGCGTACCGCAGCCTCCACCGATCATCGAGCAGGGGACCGAGTATGACCTGCCGACTGCCCTTCCTCCAACCTCCGTCGGCCCGCCGGTCTTCCCAGAGATGGAGGACAACTTCCCCGATCAAGGAGATGAGAGAGACAGCTACGGAGGAGCCCGCTCATCAGACCTCCCAACAAGTCCGTCGGGCGCCGGGGCGAACCTCAACAACCGCCCGATTACCGGACCCCAGTGGATGAAGGCACGCGGCACCAACCTGGCCGATTTTGACTACGTGGCCCCTGACGGCAGTGTGGCGATGGCCAGCCGGGCCCGGCCGCCGGGCGTGGCCGGTCCGGCGGCGGTCGTGCTGGCCGTGCTCGTGGTCGTGCTGCTGGGGGTAGTGATCGTCCTCGGCTGCTCGAGGAGACGCGCTGAGGTAGATCCCTCTCTGGAGGAGGAGTATGAGGAGGGAGAGGGAGGAGGAGAGGAAGAGGAAGACGGCCAGGAAGGAGCTAGGAAGGAAATAGTGAAAAGGAACGAGGAAACGGGGAACGAAGCCGTGAAAAGGAACGAAAAGGCTGCAGAGGAAGAAGTGAAAAGTAATGAAGGCGGTGGGGAGAACGGTGCGAAAGAGAATGTGCGAGCTGGAGAGCATAATAAGAAGGGAGATGAGATAAATAAACAGGACGACAAACAAAGCGATGAGCAAGATAACAACAGCGATACCCCGAACGATCCTGCCCATATTACGAGGCCTGTGAAGGACGAAAAGCTGGGAAAGATAGGTGAGGAATCCAAAGAGGTGAGGACAAACGAAGGAGAGGAAGACGAAGAAATCAGCCAGCCACCAGGAGTTTACTATTGATAAAATAAATTCAAACCATACACGGGCTGAATAGGTAGACAGGAGGTACTCATCATTTAGCAACGTCTATAAAATACCGTCATGCCAGTGCCACACTCAATGTCTCTCCTGGGCCTACGTCTCCAGTTACCCCTACCCCATGTTTACCATGCCTTCCGCGCCAGTGATGCGCGTGTGCGTCCGGACGAGCAGCGGGTACGCAGCACGATACCCTGTGGCGGATCGCATTTCGATCGTGCTCGTATTGGGGACAGGGTTCGGTGGAGAGCCGTGGGTCTGCCGATGAATGGGTGCGCCGCTGGTAAAAACAAACGGCTCCAGTGTCCGGTGACGCTGCGGCGCGGCGGTGCGGTGGAGAGGCCGGACGGGGCAGGGGTGGGCTCGCCAAGGACCAGAAGAGGGCGAGGGACGACGGTCGCCGGTGGCCAGAAGGGCCGTGAAGAGGATAATGCCTGCGAATGTGCAGTGCTTCAGTGGTTAAACATTATTGTGCTTGGAAATATTCATTGGCAAATGTGCTATTTTTAGTGAAAACGGGAAAATTTATCGTCAGTTTATTTCGAAGCTCATTGTTGTAATTTGTAAATGTAGCATCGCCCAACTACGTGCGTTTCTCAACTTTTTATTTGAGCATTTCGTATAGCGGCACTGATACCGATGAGTTGAGAGAAAAAATAATGGAGAATTAAGTGAATCACAGCCTCAAGTACAAAATATTTTTTAAAGTTCATCTGCGCTCACGCACCTCAAGGATGAAAACAAATTAGCGATGACATTGGACAAAACTTTATTGTTCAAGTGTTCAAGGATGCCTTTGGTTCGAAGAAGATACAATGGCACACGTAAGCGAATTGGCGAATCCTGAATAGTTACACAAAACATCAAACATGCTTTTACACTCAATAGGCTTAAAAACTATCTATCACAAACTGACTAGATATCGTTCGGACTCTGGATAAACAAGAATGACAAATTAGGATTCGTTGATAGCAATGCAACAATAATAACAAGAAGTCCGACCAACTTCTCAAAACATATGATAAAAATATATACTGTCTATGACATGGGCTAACCGTAAGGTATGTCAATTACACAAGTATGCATGCAATGAAGAATTTGCACATAAGAGCGTTTCGGCTTATACGTTGTCAGTTTTATGAGCGTTGTCATGTTTTCTTTAGAGTTTTATAGATAGTTGTGCTGACGACGACATTTTGCTCAAACACGTGTTAATAACCTACTTATTTCGGGTAAGTGTCTTTCTTAAAGCAGCAAACCACGCTTTAAGTGAATTCCCAGTCGGCCTTTTGATCAACATTGATGAATTATATGTGTCACAAAACGTCCAGTAGTTTTGTTAAACCTCGAACTACTCTTCAGAGCATACATAAATACAATACAGATGTGCTACACGACCAAAGTCCCGAGAAGAAAAAGAGATCAAACAGCACAATACGCATAAGACACTAAAGTGACATTTACACGGAGTTTACATTTGCACGTCAGATCGACGTAACGGTGTCAGACCACACTTTTACATCGATACGTTGCTAAAGCCTGTCGTTCAGTTTAGCTTCTACATAAAAATTGTGCGTGTGTGATTTCAGTTATCACCAAATTTTCACATTTGTGCGATGATCGACGAAAAGTTGATACCTTGTGCGCTACCGATACACGAGTTGAGAAGATAATAGCGGTAAAAGAGTTGGCCATAAGGAAGAACGCTGGCTGTGAAAATGACAGCCACGTTATGAATATATTGCACGTAAGGGACCAAATGGAAAAGCCAAATTAAACGATGTTCAAATGCAAAAAATTACCAGCTACAAACCCTAAGTTTTTTTTTAGCTTCTACATAAGCTACATTAGCTTCTACCTTCTCAGTATAAGAAGAGTCGCGATATTCCGGAAAGAAAGAAAAATATGTCGAAAACCAGTGGTTCTGAGACCCACCGACAGATGTCAGCCAGGTCGCCCCTCGGCTCCCCACCAGATGTCACTGTCGTCGCGGTGTGACCGCTGAGGGTGGCCGCTAAGCATCGTACGCGTACTCTGCCTGGTTGTGCATGACGAGTCGGTTATCGACGAAGTAGAAACTGTCCGAGCGCGTCTCGAATGGAGAGCGAATCATCTCCGCGGCTGGGGAACGGGAACGGGTAACAGTCAGATGGAGCCACAGGCCGGCAATGGCACACAGCAGCTGGGATATCACAGATCAGACTGTGGAAACGTGTGCTGCTAACTGGCAAAAGCGCAATATTCTCTTATTCATCCGAAAGCTAGCAGCCAGAAGAGCAGCATGGGACGAAATTCGAAAGAACAATTGGTCTATTCGACAGAATCGCCAGACGTAAAGTCATTGGCCAGATTCTTGAAGCGGACCAACGGCCGCTAGACGCAAAACAATGCCAGTCATGACCAGTCGAGGCTCGAGAGACATTGTCATGCAGAATTTCACGACAGTGATACGGGTAAAAAATCATGATTCATAAGAGTGATCGAAGAATAGAGTCCGAGTCAGGACAGTAGAGTCGGACGTAAACAAAGCGGAAACGAGCAAAACGGTAATGAATAAAGTAATGACGAGTAAAACGCTAACATTGACTTTGGTGAACGGTAGCTCAAGCTAGCGTCTGTATAAGCAGCTTTCACAACATTTAACATAATTCCCTGCACGAAACATTGCCCAAAGAGATCACACGTCCCGTACCGACTTACCCATGTCCGGGTGGATCCTGGGAAACTCGTAGATGTGTTCACACGTGTTCTTCGAGTTGGGGATGCAGTAGCCGAACTCAAAGTCAAACGTCTTCAGAAGCTTGTTGCGGAAAAAGTGACGCTCGATCATTCGAAAGTTGTTGACGGGCTTCGGTCCGATAGTGAACTCGACACTGGGAAGGAGAGGGAGCACGTCAGCGTGATTGGCAAAACGGCATGAAACTAATAGCCACGTGAAGCTTTTACGACGAACTGACTAATATGGAACATGTGAATCAGCAGACAAACACGTTTTTGGTGCGTCAATACGCCTTCGTTCGACTGTTGTACAGCAGGTGTTAGAAGTATTATCACATAATGCCGCACTTGAGCAGTGCTGTTGAGACGGTAGGTAATAAAATAGTCACACAAAAAAAACTGAAAAAAATGGGCAAAGGAATTTACAGCGGGCTAAGACACACACAAAGGTACCTATGACATGTAGCCACCTCATGTCCACTCCAAAGTTTGTACTCACGTCGCTCCGACCATTTTCAGTTTGAGGAACTTGGGCGTGAAGTGGTAGCGCACCATGCGACTGGCCTCTGGCGGCAGGTCGGGGCTCTCTGTGCCCTCCCCGGGGCCTTCCTCTGTAACACAGCGGGGTGGGGATAGTGGGATGTGAGGGAGGCACCAGTGTAAGCGATCGCAGGCTGGGTAGATATATGAGAATAAACGACACTCAAATACGGAGCAGTGGAGCGGTTTTACGAGATTTTCGCTGATCTATGTGTGAGCTATGGCCTATGTGCGTTGTGCATGGATACATTTTTCTTCGTAGGTGGACCACAATGGCGCATTCGACGATTCTGGCGCAAGAAGTGGCATGAAAACAAATATTTCACTCTAAGCTTAAAAAGCGAAACAAAGTCAGCAGAAATAGAGACACATCACAAGACTTCGCAAAACTACCGGATCATATGCAGTTGACATGACCGTCAGCCCTCTCCTCACACCGTTCCACTGACCCGTTGTGGGTTTCACGATCTCGAACAGCACCGAACCCGTCTCCAGGTCTCGGATCTTGAACCGGGTGAAGTCGATGTTGTAAATGTTGGCATCCGTGCTACACAGGTAATCTGAGAAAACACGATGCACCGTTGTCACTGCCGCTGTTGGCAAATAGCATAACGGATGTTCGTGACATTTACACCGTTTGCCAATGTCGAGCTTTTAGAAAAGGGATGACTTTGACTCTTGCATCATTTTATGTCTATAAATGGTGAATTATACTAAAAAAAACTTACGATACCATGAATAGAGGGTGTTCCTATCTATACAACACTGAACTCGGTCGAAGTAGCCCAGTCTAACGTTCGAAGTCTAACTAAATATTAGAAGTTAGCATGTCACTGACATTCGTTAAATGGCTGTTCGTTTGATGACTACGTTCGCAGATAGCGCAACCACCCGCTCCCTTACTCTGTGTGGGTTTTTGCAGCCGAAGCACATCCTCTGGTGTGATGGTATCCTTGGCGAGCAGACTCTCCTCCGATATAGCCTCTGTGGGACGGAACAGGGTGTATCAGACGCAGTCACTGAGAGTGAAATGCAGCATTTTTGCGCGCACGAGCACAAATGACCTTTCTCGCGGGCGAGCGCGAGCCCAGCGCCATCTACAATGTGACCCGAGTGGTAGCCGGCTGCGCCCGGCCATTTCACTGCGCGCGTGTCACCTGAGCGCACGGTTCGATTTGGCGCGACATCCACCGTCCGCCCCACCGCCGCCAGCTTTGGCATATGTAGCTAGCCAGCAACTGTGTTAGACATACTTGTGCTCTGTCAAAAGCTTTATCATTTGATTGTTTGTGATCGGCTATGGGCTTTTTCCCTCACCCAAAGACAGTGTGGGAAAGCCAATACATAGACCCGGAACCACACCACTGTCTTTGCGAGCGCGAACCTACGAGAAAAGAGGTTCTCAGATCGAGGCTACTCTTGGAAGGGGGGGGGGGGTGGTCATGGATCCATGAGATCTAGCCGAGGTCTACATAGTTGTCTGTGCATATAGGTAACACTGAGACGCATAACCAATTAGCAAATACCGGTAATACCGGCATCTAATAATGAGTACTCCGGTTCCGACAGAAGCGATCCACTGGTCTAAAAAGTCGGGCTCTACAACTCTGGCTGCACTTTATTGAGTAGGTATATGCCTTCAGGAACCCGATACGCGAAGTAGTGACAGTGTCAATTGTAAACGTCACGCTCAAATCAAAGACAGAAATACAAAGCGCTTCATCGTGTTCATCAGCATTCCGAAGCATGGTATCGCAGTACCTTGAAGTACCATTTCAGTACCTTGAGGTAGTCTGATGGGGACGGACTTGCTGGTACTGGAGAGGATCCCCGTGCCCTTGTCCTTCGTGGTGCCGCTTCGGACGCTCATCGTGCGCAGCGGTGGAGGTTCAGGCGGTCTGCAATCACAGAGAAACAGTCAGCTACACATTACACAACAGATACATCGGGATACCGCGTCCATAATGAAAATAGCAATACGTTCCCTGACCCAGCAGTAAAATGTTTCACCTCGTCGTGACCGTGAGTACACATTAGATGACCTAGTTCGGTTTTAATATATGACTAATCCGAAAAAACCGTATTCACCAACCTCGTTTTCTTTGGCATTGAGCATAAATCTTTACTTAACGATAAGCTTGCCATGAAAAAAATCCCGGAAGTGAGCTTCCACCACTGACTATGTGTTTCAGCAAGTCGATTAGTGTTCTGTGTGATCGCAAATGGCGTCATCAACATTGCGGTGGATGATCCAAAAAGTAAACAGCATAAGTCAATTTTATCATTCATCAGGTGCTTCCCAATTACAGTCGATATTGATGAGCTCGTCTTTTTTATCAATGGTTTCGTGAATTGTCATTGTCCATTCCCGTTGGCCGTTTCCAGTTACAACAATCGTAGTGCAAGGCTGAGTGTTATATTTACATCACAATATAAGACAAGCTGCAACAAGAGCCGTGGTAAAGAACAGCGCAGCAGCGCCCAGGCGCAATAACAAACACCAGCAATAGACTAGAGAGGCACGTCTATAATCACACTAGGACCACTCACATTTTCAAACCGAATCACAACTGCGAGCAGACTGTCATTTCAGGCACCGCACTTCACTAGTTTACTATCACCACAGTATTGCTGCTGGGTCTCGCAAACCTGTCCACTGTCCAGTCCACACAACACTACAATTTTCCGTTCTCACTCTGTCCTTGACGTCATCACCCGACCGGTGACGTCACTGGCCGCTCGTTCCACGACTCCCCGCTGCTCGTACGTCTCTCGCTCTCGCTCCAGCCACCCCTCTGCATCAAACTCGGGGAAGAAGAACTCAATCTCTCTCGCAGCTGACTGGGGCGAGTCTGACCCGTGCAGACCGTTCCTGGTATCGGTGAGTCCATACACCGCCCGAAGACTCTCTGGATGTGAGTACACAGCCCGGTACACCTTGGTGGGACCCATGAGGCCCCTCCAGGCAGCGATGGCGTCCGGCCGGGCCAGCACGAGCGCCCACAGCGGGCCACTAGACACGAACGTCACCAGGCGATTGTGGAAGAAGCGTCCGGCATGCTCGGCGTACAGAGCTTCGGCAGAGGGGCGGCTGAGAGTCAGACGGCGGCTGCGCACCACGCGGAACTCTGCCGCGGAGAGGCGGCCGAACACGGCACGCACGAGCGTCGGCGCCGCGCTGATGTCCGGCTTGATGAGGGCGAGTGTCAGCTGCAGCGGCGCCGGCACCGACATGGCGACCGATGGCCCTAGCCAGGCGGAGATGATAGCTGAGGGAGGGGAGTGCCAGTGAGTTAGAGTCAGCTGGTGTGGCAGGACAGGTACCTATGGTACCCAAATTATGATAGATATGATCACTATTCACTAGCATGCGCTGAATAGTTGCAAGGCATGTCAAACCATGGTTGAAATGAAAATTTAGATAATTCAGCCCCTGCATAATATTCATGAGTGAAATCAGATGTGGTTTTGCTGATGTTATTAAAAATATACTGCCTAAAATATACCATTAGCACATGAACCATGCAAATGAAGAGGCAAAAGAGTGATGCAATAACAGTTATGTAAAGAAACATCAAATGCCTACTGCCTACATGGATGCATTGTACTACCTAATATAGATGATTGAAGAGTGAATTTGTCCAGCTTTCAGACAATTGATAAAGGCGGTTATCTTCAAGAAAACAATCATAAAAGCACTGTAAGCTCTGTAATAAGGCACACAAAAGCCCAAATAGTTCTATAGATAGTACAAATCTTACCAAAAAGTTGTCCATACTCAACAGAACAGATGTGTCCCACAGGGAAACAGGAGCTGCTACAGCCTGCCTTTTTCACTCTCCAGGGTGTGAACAGTGAATGTGTGAAAATTTTATTCTGCATTTTCAGGATGGATCAATGGCTGTGACTGTGAACCCAGAAGGTTAAAAAGAGTGAGAGGGGCCAGATCATTCATTTCCAATACGCCAAGAGGCTAGGGAATGAATAGAAGCATCAACAAGTGCAGCAGACTGCAGGATAGTGAGTGAGCTGGGAATAATCAATGTACCTAATTGCTTCATTTGTTTGTTTTGTCAAGTTAGGCTCCTTGGTCTAAGTTATACGTATAAATACTTTTTTAAGAGTATTCTCTAGGATGGTCAGTATGTTGAGTAACAAAGTGAGGAGTATATTTACAATATCTTTTGGCCTAACCAGACCAGACAGAAGGATGTCGGGTCTTGGGATCTGTCAGCAATAGTCAAGAGTACCTACCTAGGAGACTTTAACAGTAGTAGGTAGTCTCTGACTAGTGGGCAGACACATTGATATCGGCAGGCACCCTGGTGACTCTTCATAGCTGAGCCCATCACGACAAGTCAGTAACCGCTCATCCCTGCTGAGTGCTGACTGCTGATGGTAACTCAGCCGAACTAGCCGACAGCCGCACCTGGCTAGTGGCTACAGGCCACCTCCTGAAGTCCCAGGGTGAAGCTACCAGCATGGAATAACAATGACCATCCAGCCCAGATAGGAGGGCTGAGGTGTGGAGGAGAAGGATCTGAGCATCATAAAATGACAGAACAGAGCTTATGTTTGTATTTCAAAAGTGAACTTCTATTTTTTGCAACTGACCATCTCGTTCAAATCATGAAATAAGTGTTTTACGTTTTATCTCAACTTTGTTCACTGAAAATTGCCCTGAAAATCCATATGAAGTAGATAGGCAAAGAGCGATTAGCGCTGATACTTACTCCTAAAGCAATATCCAGAAAAAAGATATTCAAATATTTTATCAACACGTTATCGATCGTAACCGGACAAATCTTCGTATGGCATTTCTTCGTCGCGCAATATTTCGTCCGCATTTCTTCGTCCGCAAATCTTCGTCGGCGCATTTATTCGTGTCGCATTACTTCGTCTCGCATTTCTTCGTAGGTGCAAAAATTCGTAGCGCATTTCTTCGTATCCGCATTTCTTCGTCGGCGCATTTCTTCGTCAAGCATTTTTTCGTCCACGCATTTCTTCGTCTACGCAAATCTTCGTCCGCATTTCTTCGTCCACGCAAATCTTCGTCTGCGCAAATCTTCGTCCGCAAATCTTCGTCCCCGCAAATCTTCGTCCGCAAATCTTCGTCCGCATTTTTTCGTCCACGCATTTCTTCGTCTACGCAAATCTTCGTCCGCATTTCTTCGTCCACGCAAATCTTCGTCCCCGCAAATCTTCGTCCGCAAATCTTCGTCCGCAAATCTTCGTCCGCAAATTTTCGTCCGCATTTTTCGTCCACGCATTTCTTCGTCCAATCAAATCTTCGTCCGCAAATCTTCGTCCGCAAGTCTTTGTCTGCGCTATCTTCGTCTCCGCAAACACTCGTCCACAAATGTGGTTCAATAAAACCATGAAGAAATATCAGACAGTCAAGTGAATGACGAATTTGATGCATGGAATGGATGATCGAAACTTTTGAAGTCAGGTAGATGAGGTCAGTCAGGTGAAGCTATTGTATTTGGAGCCGACAATTGTAACATTCCATATCATTTGTGTCCCGGACATTTTTTTTTCGCGGTCGTTGAATGACAATATAATCTCTTGTACCCTCGCCGGCATAGGCGGCGGAACGGGGAGGGCACCGGGGCACCGTTCCCCTCTTCGATTTTGGCCTTTTGACAGTAGCCCTATGGGCGTTGCATGGAAAGCATATTGGACCAAAAGTCGGCAGTGCCGGCCCCCCTTAATTGAAGATGTTCCGCCGCTACTGCCCGCCGGACCTATTTGTTTTCTACGGCACACGCCGGCCGAGGGGGCGGGTACGACCCCCCCCCCCCATCGCCGTTTCGCCACTGGTGGAGCTAGCGCGTCGCGGAAAAAACGAGCGTGTGCGCCGCTACGAGCCGCAGAGATTAATACCCGATTTTAAGGCCTACTAGGTCAGGGGTCGGCATACGGCCCGCGGGCCGGATCCGGCCAGGTGGGTGACGGTTGGATCCGGCCCGCGACCATCTGACGTCCGGCCCGCGGCTGGTATCAGCGACTTACATCGTGTTCCGGCCCGCCCCCCCCGCCACACACACACCGCCTGGAAGGTTAAGCGAGTAGACCACGTGAAGCCGCCAAGTGCACGCAGCTGCAGCAGTCGTTGATGCTACGCGCAAAAGCTGCTGACCAAATCTTACCGTTGCAAGTTTTGTCTAGAAGTAGAATTAGACAAAAACACCCGCAAATGGTGTTGATAAACTCATGAAGTGTGCGAAGGAAGAACTGTTGTGCCAAAGCACATTTGAGTCACTTTTATATCGGAGTCGATTTATGAAGGAACCGCGGGCCGGAACACGATGTAAGTCGCTGATACCAGCCGCGGGCCGGACGTCAGCTGGTCGCGGGCCGGATCCAACCGTCACCCACCTGGCCGGATCCGGCCCGCGGGCCGTATGCCGACCCCTGACCTAGAAGGCCTTAAAATCGGGTATTAACACGCGCACTGCAGGAGGGGGTTGTTTTCAACCCCCCCCCCTGTGGTTTTTCGCAAATCGCGAGAAAACGGCGGCGCGTAGCGCCGCCAAATTTTGCATACCTGTTCTCGGTTCTCCCAACTTTTGCACACCTTGAGTAAAAATTTTGAGCCCAGGTGACCTATGGTCAGGTCACCAGGTCAGATCAAGTGACCCTACCTCGAAACGTAAATTTCGAAGGTTGCAATCCCACCAAGCCCACAGTTGTTGAGATATGATCTTGAAACCCACAGGAAATAGTAAAGTCATCACGAGCTACAACTTGTATATCTCAGAATTTTTATATCGATGACCTAAGGTCAGTACATTTTTGCGACCGGCCCATTATAAGTCAATGGGAGAAATTTCAACTTACTCTGAATGCCATCCTATGACTTCAATACGCTCAGGATCATAGTATTACAGGTCCCTGTTGGTGATTTCACCGAAACATATCACTTATGACCTTTGGAAGGTGATCTCCAGGTCATCTTAGGTCACCTGAGGTCACCAGCGGTTTTTCTGCAATAACTTGAGATTGAATAGAGATAGAGACTCCGTTCGACGTTTATCGTGTTTTTCTCGTCAATGCGGATCGAATGATATGCAACATGACCTATTTCGGTCAGGTCATGACCTTGACCTGAGGTCAAATTTTCAACTTGACCTTTCGAGGTCATATTATATATCATTCAATGCGCCTTGACGAGCTAAGAACGATGGCGTTCGAATCGATCCTCTGTCTTGTGTGCAAGACATGTTATTCAAGAAAAACTACCGCGAAATTCCTGTTGTGAAAATCGTAACATTTTGTCTTCGGTGACCTCTGGTGACCTCGTTTTTGACCTGACCCAAAAATGATCTTAGTATTTCTTGTAGATCTCATCTTAACCTATCCAACGCCGTTTACCGCTTGTCGCTACGTTGCGCCGTTTTCGAGATCTCAGGGGGGGGTTGTTTTCAACCCCCCCCCCCTGCAGTTCGTGTTCGGCTCAGACCCGCTGCAGTGCGCGTGTTAATCTCTGCGGCTCGTAACGGCGCACACGCTCGTTTTTTTCCGCGACGCGCTAGCTCCACCAGTGGCGAAACGGCGATGGGGGGGGGGGGGGTCGTACCCGCCCCCTCGGTCGGCGTGTACCGTAGAAAACAAATAGGTCCGGCGGGCAGTAGCGGCGGAACATCTTCAATTAAGGGGGGGGGGGCACGGCACTGCCGACTTTTGGTCCAATATGCTTTCCATGCAACGCCCATAGGGCTACCCAGTAAACATGCCGACGTCGGCCCGACGTCGGCTGACGTCGGGATGACGTCGGCAACTCGGCATCGACATGCCGACGTCGGCCCGACGTCGGTCCAACCTCGGCACGACGTCGGCTGGATGTCGGATATGCCCGCATGTTCCGACGTCCAGCCGAGGTCCAGCCGACGTCGGGCCGACGTCGGACCGAGATCAATTGCTGAGGTCCAGCCGACGTCGGGCCGACGTCGGACCGACATCGGCCGCTGTTTTGACCGTTAAAATAATATAAAATGCATGTTTCATGTTTCATAAAGAGCTTCTGTATTCAAAATATCCTCAGGAAACTCTTGAAACTTTTTTGAAGGTGTCCTTTAAATGAAAAAAGGTACCTTATCTTCCTCCACGCCGCAACCCCCTGATCCGGACTGGGCGGGAAACTTTATCCCATTTGGGATTGCCCGTAAGCCGAGCTCGCCCGTAGCCGGGTGCGGTGAGTGCTTGGGGGCTGCTCGGCCTATCCTTTGGTCAGGCTCAGCCCCGGCAACTCACCAGGGCCGGGCCCAGTTCATATAGAAAGGCCAGTCGGCAAGTGTCACTTTGCCAAAGTGCCACTTATCAAAGGGACACTTTGGGAAACGTTGGTGCAGGTGTGTAAGAGTGGCTATATGAATCCATTGTGGGATCGCCCTTTCCAATAAGTGTCACGTACCAGCAATGGGACAGGGACTCATATGAACTGGACCCAGGGTGCTCGCCAAGAAGACCAATGTCTCCATCCTATGATCCTTCCGGCTCTGAAATGGTCTTGTCAGACCGAAAGGGCATAACCCAACAAAACAAACCAGTTTCGTTATCCGGCTGCGTGGTGTAGTGGTTAGCGCACTAACCTCGCGTTCAAATGACACGGGGTTCGAATCCCATCGCCGGCTGATGCTTTTGGCGTGTTGTCCCAGTAAACATGCCGACGTCGGCGACTGGGCGGCTCGAATCCCGCCGCCGGTTGATATTTTTGGCGCGTTGTCCCAATAAACATGCCTACGTCGGCCCCGTCGGTCCAACGACAAACGATCTCGTCAACCTCGGCAAACGATCTCGGCCCGACGTCGGCTCGACGTCGGCTGGACTTCGGCTGGACGTCGGAACATGCGGGCATATCCGACGTCCAGCCGATGTCGGGCCGAGGTTGAACCGACGTTGGGCCGACGTCGGGCCGAGCCTCGGCCCGACGTCGGGCCGACGTCGTCATGTTTACTGGGTACTGTTAAAAGGCCAAAATTAAAGAAGGGAACGGTGCCCCGGTGCCCTCCCCGTTCCGCCGCCTATGCCGGCGAGGGTACAAGTGATTATATTGTCATTCAACGACCGCAAAAAAGAATGCCCGGGACACAAATGAGGAATATTACGATTGTCGGCTCCCAAATACAATAGCTTCACCTGGCTGACCTCATCTACCTGTCTTCAAAAGATCATCCATTCCTTGCATTAAATTCGTCATTCACTTGACTGTCTGATATTTCTTCATGGTTTTATTGAACCACATTTGTGGACGAATATTTGCGGAGACGAAGATAGCGCAGACAAAGGTTTGCGGACGAAGATTTGCGGACGAAGATTTGGTTGGACGAAGAAATGCGTGGACGAAAAATGCGGACGAAAATTTGCGGACGAAGATTTGCGGACGAAGATTTGCGGACGAAGATTTGCGGACGAAGATTTGCGGGGACGAAGATTTGCGTGGACGAAGAAATGCGGACGAAGATTTGCGTAGACGAAGAAATGCGTGGACGAAAAAATGCGGACGAAGATTTGCGGACGAAGATTTGCGGGGACGAAGATTTGCGGACGAAGATTTGCGCAGACGAAGATTTGCGTGGACGAAGAAATGCGGACGAAGATTTGCGTAGACGAAGATATGCGTGGACGAAAAAATGCTTGACGAAGAAATGCGCCGACGAAGAAATGCGGATACGAAGAAATGCGCTACGAATTTTTGCACCTACGAAGAAATGCGAGACGAAGTAATGCGACACGAATAAATGCGCCGACGAAGATTTGCGGACGAAGAAATGCGGACGAAGAATTGCGCGACGAAGAAATGCCATACGAAGATTTGTCCTGGAATCGTTATCGATCACCGTTCATCAAATCGCCTCCGATCAGTCGGGGATTCTGTTCCATGCGTTCCATGGCTGTTCAGGTACGCAGGAGTTGCGAATATTCACAAATCAGCTGACAGCATAAGCCGTTCACGTTTGCAAACACAGCTTCTTTTTTCAATAAAAGAACATGACAAATTATTAGTTTTGTTGGTCACTTTTTGAAATAATTCTGGCCACAAGTATCTATGACGTCACTAGTTAAATACCAAAATTAATCGAAGTATTTCGTAAATATTGCACGAAATGTTTTGCATTGTGCTTAAATTTTCGTATGATATTTTCTTTGCTGTTTAATTTTAAAGAAACTTGGCTTCAAAACCTGCAATTTAATCCCAAATAACTCTTTAATTTGTACGAGATCTGTGACGTAAAATGATGTGTTTTTTTGAACAAATAACTTCTATATTTTTGTTCCGACAATAACAACGCGTCTGTTTCAAAATATTTTAATGCCTTTTTGTGCTGTGTGCGTTGGACGGTCGATTTTCCCATTTTTTTTGTATATTTCAGCTGAATATAGTGCTACAAACTGTAAATAATTTTATCAGTAGCAGCGAAACATCTTCAATTAAGGGGGGCACTGCCGACTTTTGGTCCCATTCTTTCCATGCAACGCCCATAGGGGCCATAGGGCTAGTGTTAAAATGTCAAAGTCAAGGGGGGCACGGTGCCCTGGTGCCCCCCCCGTTCCTCCGCTTATGAATTAAATGCGCCTGATAACCTGCTAACCTTATTGTATCTTTCACTCAGCATTATCTTTCCTCGTATCCTTTAATCTGCAGCCCAGGCGTGAGCCGTGAAGGCTGAAGGCAGTTCCTTTTTTACGTATGTACCTGAACAAAATGGATTGCCAGCTGGAGCTGGAGTCCAAACCTAACACATAGTTTGAATGTGTGAATATGGATTGACAGAGCTGGAATCCAAGCCAAGGCTGAGATAAAGCAGAGCTTGTCATGACTGGTAGAAAAACACGAAAAAATAGTGCATGGACACCTTTCGATTATTAAATCTTGATAGTTGATCAGCATGACATAACCACAGAGAAAACAATGTATCTTATTTTTCTTTGGTTATGTCATGCTGATGAAGATTTAGTAATTGAAACGCGTCCATGCACTAGGTATTTGTTCTGTGCTTTTTCTACTTGTCTCTATCAATATACACTCTTCATGACTGTCATGAGCAGACTACAAGGCCTTCCAGTTTTAGAGTTTTAGGACAAGAATGCCCTGCAATTACATATCTCATGTCAATGTGATTCCTATCAACACTTCACTCTGTGCATGTGATTTATCCTACAGGAGCAAACCCTCAACCCAAGAAACAGTTAACTTTGTGAAAACATATGGTCATCATGCCTGAAAAAGATAAGTTGCTGAAGGAAAATGTTGGAGATGGTCCTGGTAAGTAGTTTTGCTTGAACATTTGATATAATTTCATGTTGAACTTTCAATTCAGTTGATATTTAAAGCATACTTAACCTAAAGCATGTCCATCATTTGAATGTGCATTGTTGTGCATTGAAATAATACATTTTTTTTGTTCAGAGCCCAGACATTCACTGCATCTTATTTATATTCCAGGAAGTCGATCTAGTTCCAAAGGAAGCAGCTCTCCAAAAGTGCTGGACATTCCTTTGGTAAGTAAGAACACATCTGGCCATCTGAGACCAGACCTGACAACTGTGAAACAGACAAGCTCAATCAACTGCAAGATAACTGATCTCATCAGTACCTCTTTTTAAAAACTAGTCTTAACATCAAGCATTTTACTGTCTTGTTTGTTACACTATGCTACCTAACAGTCACCATGCAGTCAGTTTTATAATCTATAACATTATTACTGCAGACTGCAGGGACAGAGAGGCAGTGGCGGATCCAGGGGGGGGCAAAATGGGCATTTGCCCCCCCCCCCCAACGGCATGATTTTAACATTACGCCTATGGACGATGCATGGAAAGAATCGATAAATTTTTATGGTTTGCCCCCCCCCCCCAAACCTCTGAGCTGGATCCGCCTCTGCAGAGAGGAACTGTCAGTGGAAACTGGGAATACTTCAACTTCCAGTAGCATTTATACAACAATACAAATGCTACTAAGTTCACTTTTTCAGGCTTCAGCTCATTACATATGAATACTTAAAAATTCCTGATGTCCCCGATTAGATGAAAATGACACATGCAGACAGGAGAAGGCCTGTTCAATGCCGTCCTCGTTACTCCCAAATTACCTACGGACTTGGGATTGGGCGTCGTTCTGCCTTGGTTCTGCCTCATATTTCGCCACGAATATCGGCTGACTAGAAGATACGAAGTAGCAACGAACCACCAACCAACCTCACAAGTCGCAACTCGGTCGCTTTAAAACAGAATCACCCCCCCCCCCTCCCTCCTAAACATAAGTCTCTTAGGCTTACGACTAATCAAATATCTAAATGTCGGCAATGATATCTTGCAGGCCGTTTCCTCCATGCCGCCTCTATGTATTGATGGGACAAGTAAAGCAAACCAATCGATATGCGCTCACGATCTTGAGGTGAAGATGATCGTAGTTCAACGGGTAGCGGAGACGGATTTTCCTGTGTTATGACTGATGAGCCTTTTCCGAGGTATTCTGGATCCCCCCCCCCTTCCGAAGAAAAATGTGTTTGTTGTTCTTTATCGCCGAAATTGATTTGGAATAACTGACACTTCTTCTTCTTCGCATCGTCTGGCCCGGACTCAGCTCGCTCTATCCGATGTCATACCCAACAAAGTGCCCTCTAGTTTCGATAGATCGGCTGTCCTCTAGTTTCGATAGTTTCCAGCTGCCCTCAGCTGTTCCGATGGTCCAGCTGCCTGCTAATTCCGATAATCTACCGACTCACCGGACCAGCCTGTCGCAGTGGGACCGGTGCGGCCGTCGGGGTGGTTCCTCCCACTGCGCCGGTCCGGCCGGCAACGACCCGGGGTCGGGACCGGGACCAGGACCGGGACCAGTCGTGGTCTCAGTCTTAGCATTCATCACTGAGCCGTCAACCGGTCGGCGAGACTGGACCTGACCGCGCTGACCTCTGATCCTTTGATTTGTCTCCTCCGCGGCTCCTCTGCCGGGCCCGAGATCGGACGCAGGCGTGAGGTTTTGGTGCGTTCGTCCAACATTGATAAGGCACGTGGGTTTGCTTGTGCGGTAAAGGCACACTGCTGTGCACTGCTGTTACAACATTTAGGCAAGATGCATTGCTGTAAGCAGGATCGTAAACAATGCCTGAACACGTCGCCCGTTCCAGCTGTTTTATTTATTTATTTGCTTTAGGTTTTGTTTTTGTGAGCCACGCCGTCCACGATGCAACCTCGAGCACTCTCAGGGCCCGGGGGCGCTCTCAACTGTCCAGTTTTCCGTGGTGAGCCATCCGGTGCGGCGCCGCGGGTAGCTGGTTATGGACCGGGACTCCCATCGACCTGGTAGACTGGACGGCTTAGCCCCCACCCCCCTCCTCCAGGGAACTGAGCTCTGAGGACCCCCCCCCCCCCCCAACTGACACGTTATGTAGCGGGTGTTGTGGCCTGTGATGGAACGGTGGGGGGGGGGGGGGCAGATACCGGTAGCTTTTATAGAGGTCGATGACCCACTAGCAAACATAGTGGGTCTACTCAGTGTCGAGCACTGTGAAGATGGCAGCTCAGCATTGGGATTACCTACTTCCTGAGCTTCGGGATTTTGTTCGTTCATAATGCTCAGTGAAAACACATGAGTACGATGTTTCGATGCATCGTAACTGCTTGCTACTAGCCAACCATGATGATTGATGTGTTGTTCATTGTGCTATGCATATTGTGTGTTATTGTATTTTTATGCATTATGCATGGGCGACAATGCTTAAACCAGGGCACTAAAGAGTCGCTTAAACAAAATGCACGTATGCTAAATGAAAACGTGAGAACTGGATTCGTTTGTTTAGTTTTTCTACCTCGCGAAATCCGATGAAAAGTAGGCTCAAGCCTAAGGTGACGGCCAACATTCCTGACCCCACTGCTGAGCTGAAGCTGGTTTGGTGGTAGTCGTGACGCTGGAGAATGAAGACTTCAGTTCTCAGGCTCATGATGATTTGGGTAGTTCGCCAGGGGCTCAAAACACCGAACGTGTAAAATGTGAAATGTCTCACATCGTCGGAAGACGGCGTCGTTCAAACGTCGTCGGTATCCTGTGGACTGGTCCGACTAGTCTGGCTCGAGAGCCAGTGTCATGATGTCTCAAGTCAAAGGTGTCCATTTGACCGGTTATTTATCTTTAATTGTAGTCCCTGTTTCGTTCGTCACTTACTCTCCATCCGCGCCCATCTCTGAGCTCCCCTGTCTAGTTTGGTTTCTGGCTGCGCCCCTGATCCGGCTATCAGCTGACAGTGAGTGGCATTGATGATAATCGATCCGATAGACCCACCTGATGGCGAGGCCTGGGACGGCTTTAAACGGCCTTATACATTTTTTGCGTAAAGCAAAGCAAGACGAGTTTTCACTTCTTAGATCCCACTTCTTAGAGGTTTTTGGAGCTTAGAGCTCTTCCATTCAAATGCTTCACAATTTATTCACGAATCCAAGCCATTTTGTATTGGGTTCCGCACTTCTTCCTCAGTGCTCAATGTTATAGGCATTTCTTGTTTTTGACGGTATTCCGACTTAAGCTTACGAGCTCGGTTCCTTCCACAATAGAACAAGTCCATCCTCAGTCTGTTGCCATGGATCATGGCCCTCCACCACCGTTTCCCCAAACTATGATGACTTGTCGTTTGTCGTGCTCTTGCGGACTTCGCACTGCCCCCCCCCCCCCTGCCGTCGGCGGGGGGCCCGCGGTGCGTCCTTGGCGTACAGTCGCTGTAGTTGTGACGTGGTTGGTCGGCGCTCGGGCTGGTCGGGCCGCTCGGACTGCCGCACTCGGCGGTCGGTTGCGGTGTGGTGTGGTTGCGCTCCGGTGAGGACGGTGCAGTGAGGAGGAGTGTGAGGACGGAGGAACTGCTGAGGACGATATGGCGGCGGAGAGGACATACGACATACCTGCGGTGAGCGATGAGGATGGGGTCTCGTCACTCGTGGTGTCCTCACTCTATGCCAGATGCCTGCGTCCATTCGGCGTGGCACTGCTGGCTCGGGAGAGTCGTTAGACACAATTTATCTTGTGAGCAGTCACCCTACAGGCCGGCGTATGATTGTATCGCAGATTCCGACTCCTGCATGCAGCATAACTCCTTCCATCGCATACTGATTGAAACCTGCTGCTAATTAAACGCACACTTTGAATTGTATTTGTAGGTTCCGGTATCGTTTTTGGTGCTCTTGTTTGTAGTTGACGGATGTAGATTTATTTGATGTGCTGTGCCACTATCCTTTGGGAAACGTTCTTTGGTTCCCCACTGTTCAAAAGTAATAAATAGCGCATTCGAAAATTCAAATTACTGATCGATATTGTATTGAGTATTGAATTAATTGGCACTAACTGCTGTTGAATAACGGAGTATTCTGCGAGCGTTTTGTTCGCTTATTGCGGCCTTAGGACGCGCCTACTGCAATGATCACTTGCACCGATACATTGGACGTTCAGACACTTTTCTGGCCGACCTGGATAGGTACTGGATGTTGGAATTTCTTGGATCACAACTTTGCTGATAACCAACTTTTGGCGACACTTCGAGAACGTCCTTTGCTAGTTTTCAACATTCTGCACCGCATGTTGCGACGGTCTTTCCCCGGCATCCGGCTAACGTGCTGACGCCATCGTTCCTCCCATGATACACATCCGTTCGACAACGGGAATTACTTCCTGGATGGTATCTGCTCCGGGCCGGACCTGTCCTGCCATGCTGCGCAGTTACGACGGTTAACAGCAGTCAATAGTGACCGTCTGTTGTCCCAATTAAGGCGGCACATACCACTGCTTTTTTCGACAGTTGATGTCCCACCAAACCGGCCGAACTGCCACGCGTGCTGTGGTCAGGGCGCTGACCTGTGCTGAGCTCTCAGTTGGGAAGGATTACACCCGGCTCGAGCCCGGCTCAGTGGCTTATTAAATGCAAAGGCCCGCTGACCGGTGTTTGAGGCTACTGAGCCTCGTTACTAATGCGATTTGACGTGTGTGACACCGTCCCGTATGCCACCACTGTTGGGGTGAAGTGTGTGTGAACCAGTTTTGGAAGGCGTGCTAACAAAGTACGAACGTCTTGGCGTCGTGGGATGCTCGATCGGCGCAATTATTACAGAGCTTCCTGAGCGCTCTCCGTATGTGTTGTAGTGAATAAGCCTTAAGAATCCACTGCAATCATTTTTAATGTGATGGCGGTCATCGATTCACAGAATAAGTCGATACTAGCAACGTAATTAGACAGGACATGCGTTATCTAGAGTGGAGTACATTCTCCCGCTTCAAAATTCGTCCAACCCGCACCTGGAATTGACATCAGCTGTGCTTTATCATGAAGATCTTTTCTTTTGTCTCTTGTGAAGCGTCCCCGAAGCCTTGATCTGCACCGTGGCCTTATTCAGCTGCCTGGGCTCTAACGTTTTGTCTCACCTGAGCTTGATACCGGCCTGGCCAGATACATCTATCTGTAGGTATCAATCTGGTCGACGTCGCGCGCTCTTTGCACTAGTTCGCCGGTCTCCCGTCCCAGCCTGAACCCTTATCGGCACTTGAGGCCAAGTGGCCTTCCATGCCACTATCCACTAGACTCCGGCGGATGCCTCCTCCCCGCCCATCCGCCCTGGGTTGGGCGGGGGCGGGGGCGGGTAGGTACCGCCGCCGGGCCGGACCGTAGTATGGGCGGCTGGTGCGGCCCGGGTCGGAGCTGGGGATGGGTGCGAAAGGCGGTGGGAGCGTCTCCGCCGCGCTCCTCACCTCACCTTTACCCCGCACCCACCCTCCCCGGGCTGCTGCCGCCCCACTCGACCCTCCCCGCTCCGCGCTGGGCAGTCCCAGCCCGCAGCGGTCCGTCCGCGCTCCTCCAGCCGTGAGAACGACTCCCGCCTAACCTGAATGGCAATAACCTGTTGTAGACGGGATCATAGCAGATCCTGGGTTCATGAGTTCAAACTTTGATCGGATCTGGACCAGTGATCTGTTCGTCCCGAGCCACATTGCAGACGCGTTATGGTTTCGGTGTTTGAGTAAACCAACCACTGGGCTTGGTCGGGACACAGTTCGAACCGGTGTAAGTGTCACGGAGCGCAGCAATGTTACCAATCGATCATATAGAATCCAATCTGATGAACTGGTTTGACCGCTACAGGACTGGCTTGAGGTCCAGTTTTTCCACTCCTACTGTTTTACGCCGGGATGGGTCAGCGGTACGCACCACATATCGGTAGTTTTGCCGATTCAGTGTGATGACGCTGGCCTGAGATCTTCACATAAACACTGGATAGCTGTTGGCGTCTGGGGCGTTTTTGGCAGCCATACCAACCATTGGCCGTCCAGGGGCCGTGGTGTGTTTGCTGGGCCACATTACGGCCTCTGCTTGGCATTTCAGAAGAAAAACTGCTGTGCCCTGTAATGCAAAGCATTTATAACCTCGAAGACATTTCTGTTCTTTGAATGAGTTCATCGCATAGCTTTCTTCAAGGGCATCAAACCGACAGACATGCCCTGAGCTGATGGTCTGATGGGATTAATTCGACTACCGCTCTATCAAATATCAGAACTTCATCTAATGTCAGGCACCGTGCGGAGGTCGGGCAATTCAGCCGGCTTACGAGTAATCCAGCAGCCGGTCGCTTTAGCAATGAACTGCCCAGTGATCACGGAAGTGTCGAGGTCGACGGTGATGTTCCGTATCCGTATAGCTGCAGCTCCCTGTCAGCGGAACGGAGGGGAGGGTGGGACGAAAAACGCGAGCGGCTGCGTGGCTGACCGGTGTGTAGACGGGTTTTTGTTGTGTCTCGTCTGTCTGAGTGAGGTTTAATGGGCTGGCAGTGTGTCCTCCCCTGTGAAACAGGTTTTCACAGTTACCTACTACAAAGGGTGGCGCATACTCAGCTGTCTGTATTGTATTGTATTGTATTGTAGGTGTATTGAATGGTATTTGCGACCATGAGCGATCCACACATGGCGTTTCGTGCCATGAGGGCTCGGGAACACAAACCTCGAATGCATTTAATGCATGTGAAGACTCCTCTTATTCACATTCACAGTTGCATAATCGTTGCCAGCGTTTCGGTTATTACAGGAAATACTCTGTATGCCATATAGGGATTCCGGGTGTCACTAAGGTATGCCGGTTGCGGGAGAGCCACACGCCAAGGCTGGCTTCGCTTTGTCATTGGCTCAGAAGGGCTTCCGGCTCAGAGCAGTACGAGGGTCAGATATGGGCGGCCTGTGTCGCCTTACCGTCTTATCGTGGAGTAGGAACTGTTATGTAATGTGACCTAATTCGTAACGTTGCGTTCGTATGCTTCTCGACAACATGCCTACGAATGGCATGTTGTCGAGAAGCATACGAAATATTCAGCAATGCGAGTAGGTATGGCGTATGCAATGCAAGTCTGATATGTAGAGCAGGGTTGTGCTCGACTCAAAAAAAAAAATTGCCGACTCGACTCATCATTCAACTTCAGAAAGCCCTGACTCAACTCTGACTCAAACAAGGAGCTGATTTTTTCCCTTGACTCGACTCATGACTCAAGCGGCTCGATGAAAATATGAGTCGACTCAAACTTGACTCATTTTTTTGTTGAGTCAAGTAAGTTGACTCAAAATTGACTCAGATAAAAAAGTTGTTGAGCGGGGGGGGGAGGGGTGAGAGAAATCCGGCAGCAGGGCCGGGGCTAAGTTGTTAAGCGGGGGGGGGGGGGGGGGGCGTGGAATAAAAAGAAGCTTTATATATATTGTTTCTGTAACGTTGAGTCAGCTGACTCATATTCCTAAATGTTTGACTCAACTCAATGTCAAAAGTTATTTTACTGACTCAACTCTGACTCAACTCAACAGCTCAATATTTTATCCGACTCGACTCAAATCTGACTCATTTGAGTCAGAGTTGAGTCAAATTTCTGACTCGACTCATGAGTCAAGCACAACCCTGATGTAGAGGGATCACTATACAGCAACGAAGGCAGTGAAGGCACCTCAGTCGTACGGTTATCTGGTGGACACTTATGCTGACCGGTTAATTTATTTAATTATTCGATTTTGGTCTATAGTGAGTGAGCCGGAGCTGCTGCCAACATCCTGGCTGCTATTGATAGCTCACGACGTGAACCTCTTTCGATCGTCTCGGCGTAATTGAAATCATGTGTCCACTGTCCATCTCCTATGTCCTGTATGGTTTCGTTTGGGGATACTCTTCTATAACGGGAAGGGAGAGGCATCTCCGGGATGCGTTTCTGATGACCACGTTATTCCGGCTCCCAAAGCTGAGGGCCAGCTCCGCGTGCATCTTGATAAAATTGATTACAGTGTGAGATAGGTTCTGCGTGATGCGACAGGGCGGAGAATAACCGGACATTTTCTCTGAAATGCGTCACTGGGGGTCGACGCGGACGTCTTATATCACGCAAAAATATTATCGCCAAAACCGGTTGTCGCTCGCAGTTTCACTTATCGTCCTCGTTCATCCGTACGAGCTTTCTTCCCGTCTCGCTGGCCGGCTAGTGACGTCATTAAATCCAGTGTCATCACTGGAACTAAGTACTTAGTTACATAGTTACAGTATGAGTTATATCAGTCCACTTGTTCCACCCTCTGACCTTCCCCATTTGTCGTGCCAACAGCTGGTCCAGCAGGCCCGGGAGGCGTACAATGACGGCGTCACCCGGGATCTCGAGTTCCGCAAGCGCAACCTGCGCGGCCTGCTCAAATTCTACAATGAGAATCGCCAGCAGCTGGTGGACGTGCTGCACAAGGACCTGCGGAAGGTGAGGGGGCCGAGGTGGTAACCGTTGTGAAGGTAGGACGTGTTTGATAGGGAACTTTGGAAAAGTTGAATAACGGCAATCCATAGAGGTCCGAGATAGAGTCGCATGGCTCAGAAAGGCAGAAACGCCCCGCCGCAGGTAGACCTCTCGCTTTCCGAAGTAAAAAAGGATAGCCTGCTGTCCTATGAAGCACAAACCAGAGCCTTGGAGCATATAGCCTCGTATGATGGTTTTATTTCAGTCTACACAGACGGCTCAAAAACATCCGAGGGAGCGGGTTGCTCTTTTGTCGCTGGTCGGGACACCCGCTCGTTTTCCCTTCCACCCAGCGCCTCGGTGTTTTCCTCAGAGCTAGTCGCCATCGAAAAGGCTCTGTGTTTTATTGAGGTGTCCGACGGTTCTTTCTATTTGATTTTATCAGACTCACTAAGCAGTCTGTTGGCTTTACGACGGTTTAATCCTGACGACCCGATCATTCAGGACATTTTAACTCGGCTAACTTCGGTGGAACAGTCCGGAAAAAACTATCCGGTTTTGCTGGATTCCCAGTCATGTTGGAATCCAAGGCAACGAGCTTGCTGACGCCGCCGCGAGACGCGCTGCCGCAGCGCCCTACACTCGGCGATTTCCTCTGCCTGCCCGGGATTACTATACTCTGTTCCGTTTCAAGTTTGCAGCCGAAGTGCCCTGCTGAAGGCAGTGCGTGATTTCTGTAGATACATCTCTTGCATTTTGAGACGCAAATTCTTGAGCGGAGGAGCGATCTGCCGAAGAAACTCCGACTGCAAGCTTGATATGGAACAGACTATATCCCGTCGTACGATCTTCCATGCTCTCGCAGTGGCAGGCAGAGTGGGACTCGCGCGCGAGCAGTAAGCTGAGAGATATCAAGCCAACTCTCGAGCCTTGGTCGTCATCCATGCAAAGTAACAGACATAACGAAGTCGTCTTATGTAGGCTGCGCATCGGCCATACGTATGCCACGCATGGTCATCTCCTCCGCGGAGAAGAGCAGCCCACCTGTCGCAGGTGTACCGTGCCTCTCACTGTCTCTCACGTGCTTTTAGCTTGTCCTCTCGCTGAACCGAACCGGACACGCTACCTCGGGCGCATCGCTCCGGGTACCACTATCCGCCGCTTACTGGGTGACGAGTCACCCTGGGTTTTATCCGGCAACATCTTTTCTTTCATCCGTTCGATCAATTTCCAAGTGATTTACTCGACCTGACCCCAATCCAACTAGCCCTCTCTAGTCCTTTCATCTAGTCAGTTGTCTAGGACGACACCTTTGCGCTGTTTTATCTTACCTTGCTATTTTATATCGAGTCTTACTTTCTAGTCTTAGTATCTAGAAGGTTCTTTCTTGTGGCACACTTGTTTTATTAGTACGACGTTATGGGCGCAAAATGACCTTAGCAGTCGGCGCGCCCTAAAGCCCCAATCAACAAACAAACAAGAAAGGCGTAGGAGTTCCAGAGATGTAGACGTTAAATGTGTTGGAACAGCTGTGACACTTAATTCCAAGGCGGTATTTGACGACGTGGTTCTCGTTGTCTTCAAATGGCATACAAGTTTACCAAAAAGCAACCCAATAACCTGTTTAGATCGTCCAGGGGATGATATTTTATGCATAGATGAGCCCTTGTCTTTTTCAATTTTTATTTTGTCTTTTTTTACCCTTTTATTTTGACCCTTTTCCATACGCTTCCAATGTCAAACTTCATTGTTACGAGTGCTCACATGAAGTGCATGAATTCCTAGTCTGACGGCACTGTACTGGTTTCAGCACGCCTTTGAGGCCATGATCACTGAAGTCAACTACCTCATCAACGATGTGAAGACCATGCTGAACAACCTGGACGAGTGGTCAAAACCTAAGGCAGTGAGTACTCGGACCAGAGGATGGGGCGGAGGATTTCGTACAGGCTACCCTGGGGTCCGTTTTTAATCTTTCCCCGCACATCATGCGGCGCTCATAACCACAAATCATCATCACATCGGCTCTTCTCATCAGTAACTGAGTATGACCGACCTCAGACGCTCTCCCCATTACCCTGTTCTAAACATGACTCTGCCATTCTCTCATGTGCAGCGTAACTGTGACATAGCACCATCGGCAAACTGCTGGGCGGGGCCGACAATTGTCCCTGCACACTGCACAATGCACACAGGGTGGCTGCAGCTGTATTGGCGGACGAGCACCCGGCTAGACGGACTGGTACTATTGGTCTCAAGATAAGGGTCCAGGCGGCCTGTAGGTTTGATGCGGTGAATACCCTCACCCTCGCCACAGCTGGAGTGGGGGTAGGGGAGGGGGTGCGTTCGGCCCGAGTCTGACAGCGGGGTCGCTCGCCGCAGTGTGGTGTCCAGCGGTGCAGTCGGAATCAGGCGGAATTATGCCGGCGGCGGTAACCGGTCGAAGGGCCTGGCTCAGTCGCGTCTCGGAGACGAGTTACCGAGTAGGGTGTCAGCGATAGATGGGAGGGGTGTGGTCAGGGCGCTGTTTGATCACCAAATCAGCATGCTGTCAGTTTGCTAGCGTTTCTCATCTTCTCATTGGTCGTTGATGAACCACACGTGGTGTGTGCGATTGACCAATGAGAGACTAAGAGACGCCTGTAACTGGCTTCCATATATTGGAAAACCGACAACAAGCAGAAAACACGACGGTGCATGGGGCGCACTAGCTTTGAAGGTCGCTCCGCAAAAACATAACTTTCCATAGATGAGGGTGACGGGTGTTACCTACCCCAGACTTCTTGCGATTGCTCTCAACAAGGAAACCTGAAAGCTGAAAAATAGCACACCTGCCTTGATTCAAGCCGATTCTCTGGTGACACCAACGACCAATTACATTTTCAATTCTTGTCGAGCCACTGACCTATGACGTCATAAAAGACTTCATTCGGTCCCAAAATATTGCGGCTTGGTAACTCCGCCATTGCTAGGTCAACTTCTGCAGATAAATAAAACTCACAGGACTTCATGTTCTTCCGATACCTTGCAACTTTTATGTCTCGTAATTTCTAGAAGTTCACGTAAAGCTAGGTCAATGACGTGACCTCCCTCACCAACATTATTCAACAAGGGAAATACTCAGATTTATGTTGATGACAAAGAAAAAAATGATTTACGACTATCGTTTGCACATGGAGTCGTGCTCGTGTCGCTTCACTCCTTGCAAGATCGATGCTCAACTTTTGCGTTGTGAACCATGTGCAACGTCATAAGCGACGTTACATAGATATTGGAGTTTTTTTGTCATTATTCCGCACCGTAGACAGTGTTTACAATTGCTTCACGTGCAAAAAGAGAAAATTGTCAGATGTCGTTTACCTGATTTGTTAACCCGCGCACCGACGGGGGTCTGCGCCAACTTCGCACCGACGGGGGGGGGGGGTGGATGACGCCCCCCCCCCTGAGATCTCGAGAACGAAGCAAGATAGCGACAAGCGGTAAACGGCATCGGATACGCACGGACAAGGTCTACAATTTTTACAAAGGTCATTTTCAGGTCAGGTCAAAGATGACGTCACAGGGGTCGAAAAAGTCAAAATGGCGGCGCTAGATATGGAGAGAGTTTTTCTCCAATAACTTTCGAATTAGTCAAGATAGGAACAAACTAAGGGCATCATCGTGATCCTCTCGTCAATCCGCATCGAATGAAATATATGTTGACCTCGAAAGGTCAAGGTCAAAGGTTGACCTCAGGTCACGTGACCTCGAGGTCATCATGTATATCATTCGATGCGTCTTGACGAGCTGAACACAATGAGACCATCGGCGCGGCTGTATCTTGTTTCTGTACGGAGTTATTGGCCAAAAACCTTTGGTGACCTTTGATGACGTCACATGACCTTACAGCTGCCCAACAGCAAAACAGACCTCAAGGTAGTGAAGGTTGATCGTATATGAAGTCATGTAATGTATATGGGTCCATTCCGACCCGTTTTAGTGGTAAAAACAGGGAGTTGATTTTTTCCCCATTGACTTATAATGGGGACTGGGGAGGTCGCGAAATTGACCTGACCTTAGGTCACCGATATCAAAATTCCGAGATATACAAATTGTAGCTACTAATGACCTAATAACATCCTGCGACTTTCAAAGGCCTCCGACATCCACTGTAGCTCTGGCACGGTGACAAAGTTGCAAAAAAGTGACTTGAGGTTGGGTCATTCAAAGTGACCTGGTGACCTGACCTTAAAGGGACCCTCCCACCTTAACATTAGTTTGAGTTAAGATAGCCAAGTTTGCGGCCAGGCTCAGAAACCACCATTTATCCTGGTCGCAACCCCCGCAGCTTTATGGTGTTCAAGAAATTTCTTCCTTTTACTTGCAGGGTGGGACCAGCGTGGTCCCTATCTCTTAACCATTACGGGAATCTGATGACGTCATCAGGCTTTCGAACGTCCGTTAAATATTTGACTAAAACGTTTTGTAGCGCGCGGTGGTATGTGCTGCTTTGCGCGCAACAAATGCCGCACTTTCAAATAAAGTCGCTAGGAACAGCGGAGATCCCAAGAAGTAAACAAAAGTAAAAGTCTGATATCTTGAAAACCGGTGAATATTTTTCGATGAAATTTGGTAGATATTCGTTTTTGCTCTTTCTGAACCGAGCGGCATCACTTTCATGCCAATTCAGTAACTTTTTTGAAGGTGGGAGGGTCCCTTTAAAAGTTAGGAGGTTCAAACTTGCACACCATGTGTAAAATTGATGAGAGAATAGTCATACCAAATTTCGCGGCGCTACGCGCCGCGGTTTTCCCGCTATCCGCGGAAAACCTCAGGGGGGGGGGGGATATCCGCCCCCCCCGTCGGTGCGCGGGTTAAACGTCTACCTACACGTTTGTCTAGTCTGAAATATGCCGTATTTTTACATAAAATGTATTTTTTTAACTTAAGTGACCGAAAGATGCCGGCGGTACGGGATAAAATTATTAAACCACTCGTAGATAACAAATATTTTAAACGTCTCGCCTATCGACTCGACGTTTAAAAAATTGTTCGACCTACTCGCGGTTTAATATATATTAACTACCGTTCCAACTGAAATACTACCGTTCCAACTGAAATACAGGGTGGTTATATTAAACTGCGAGTAGGTAGAACAAATATTTTAAACGTCGAGCGGTTAGGCGAGACGTTTAAAAAAAAAAAATCTTCCTACGAGCGGTTAAATAATTTTATCCCGTACCGCTGATATCTTTCGGGCGCTTAATGATAAAGAATACATTTCATATAAAAATACGACATATTTCACACTAGACGAAAAGTCAACTAGACGTTTAACAGTTTGTTAATCGTCTAGACGTTTAAAAAATCAGTTACACGACATCTGATAATTTTCTCTCTTTGCACGTGAAGCAATTGTAAACACAGTCGACGGTGCGGGATAACTCAAGAGTCCAAGAGAACTCAAGAGTCCAAGACCCTTGATGAACTGAACGCTGCCGTGAGTCGTCGAAGTCTGCACGATGGCCGGCGATCATTTGGGGCTCCAGCGGGGGCTTACTTTACGTCATTCGCTCCTGAACACCCTGCACTTGTGCACGTGACCTGACCTCAGAGGTCACATGCTTATCTGACACTTTTAACTTGATTGTGAATCGCTGGGTGTTGTTTTTGTTTGCAAGGCTTTTAGCTTAATAATGGGCGAAACGGCGGCGGGGTCCCCCCCCACACACACACACTCTAGACGTCTCTCGGTATTCAGAAAGCCGATAGGTCCAACGAGGAATAACGGATACAACGACAACGAGATACGTGCACTCTTGAAATATGTTTGTTACGTGTGGATTTGATTTTTTAGAACGTTTCCTTGTCTTGTCTACAAGCTGAAGTTCGCCAATCAGCCTTATGCATTACCTAGCTGCATCGCTTCGAGTCCAATCAGTGGGAATGGCTTCTACACTCTACACTATTAGTGCTTTCTTGGAATGATATCACGTTTGATAGAATTATAAAGCGAACGCATAGCGAAAGGGGCGAGAGTAACACTTAACATATTGGGTGGAGACTTCCACTGGCGTCCAACTGGCGTCTAACTGAGCAGACGTCCAAGTTGGCGTCTAACTTGGCGTGGACGGAGACTTCCAAGCTAGACGCGTCTAAAGCTAGCTGTCGCCAGCTAGACGCAGCCGCCGTCCAGCTAGACGCGTCTAAGACTTAGACGCGTCTAGCTAGACGTGAAATGGAAGTCTCCACCCATTGTGTAATGGTTAAAGGCCTGGCTACACTATGCGTTTTCTGCGTGCGTTTTTGCAGGTTTGCGTGTTTTGCGTAATATCGTTCTAGGAAAAAAGTTATAAACAATATAATTTTTACTTTGGTTATATACAAGAGCTAATATAACTCTTATGTAATTAAAATTTAAGGTGAAAAACGTCACAAAAACGTAATATCGTTCCTTTTTCTAGAACGATATCACGCAAAACACGCAAACACGCAAAAAACGCACGAAGAAAACGCATAGTGTAGCCAGGCCTTAACTCTACCGGAGGTTTAACAATGCAGGTATTGAAATAAACTGTTCAACACTTATTCAGCGCCATAAATGGAATTATATTAAACAGTAGGAAATTAAAAGTTATGAAGGTTGAAATATGAAGCCGTTAAGATAATGATATAAATAGTGACGTTCTCGGCGGTATGCCGATCATGACAACATTCATTGCTATGTCCTAAACAAATTCCCACGTCTTGCAGTCTAAGGTGAAACTGCAATGAATGATGCGTGGTCTGGCATAAGTTTTATCCTCTAAAAAAAAAATGTTCTCTCTAAGTTACTACATAGGGGACAGTGATTCTCTTTAGCGTTCAGCTTATTCCCCACGAACAGGGACTTACATACGAACGCAAATTTGCATGTTGGCAACTAGGTTGTGCAGTAAATACGGCTGGATTTTTTATCATGCCCGTTTGAGCTGTAACGACAAGGCGCCGAGGTTGACCGCCGGCTTCTGTTTGTCCAGGTCCTGCTGGACGACAGCCCGAAGTTCGTCGATCAGGATGAGGTCCGGAGGGCAGCCGGCTAGCATCTCTTTCCTTCAGAAGTCTGGCACGTTCAATTCGCACCACCGCTAGGCCTTGGCAGAGCGATGAGTTGGCGCACCGTCCTGATTGAAAATGCATGTCAACATGTCATTGACCATGCGTTGGCTTAGTATTTGTTTGTTTTGTTGGGTTAGGCCCTTTCGGTCGACAAGACCATTGCAGAGCCGGAAGGATGATAGGAATTAGGGGGGAGACATTGGTCTGGGCAGGCACCCTAGTGAGTCGCCGGGGCTGAGCCCGTCCAGAGGACAGGCCACCCAGCCCCAAGGCACTCACTGCACCCGGCTACGGGGTGCGCTCCCTCAGGAGCAGCGGTGCCGCTCCAAGGGAGCAGCCCGCATGAGATAAAGTTGCCTGTCCAGCCCGGAGGGGGTGGCGGCGTGGAGGAGAAGGATTTCAGTATCCTGAGGATAGAAGCACGGAAGGGTGACTTTGTATTGGGCCGAAGGTAGGTAATGAGCCTTGGAGACCTCTTCCAATTGCGTCTCACGGTCCTGTTTGGAGATGTGATAGCGCTTCAGCGCGAGCCGCTTGGCCAATTTTGTCGCCAACTACTGGCCCCTCTTCCCGGTCGCCTTTTTTTCAATGAGATTTCTGTAACGTTTGAAATGGTAGGCGCACGCCGGCAAACTGGAACGATCAGCAACACTGCCAGCAGCCGTATGCTTATCCCACCAACACCGGACTGTGCAGACAGTTCGTCTATAATTAAGACTTGCAAACAAAAACAACAGGCAGATGTCCTAACCAATCAGCAATGACATGCTGTGTCATTTCGGCCTGGAGCATGCCGACTGTCTGGTTCAGCTCCCTTGATAGAAATTTCAGACATTCACGTAGCGACGCAGCCGTTCAGGTGGACAATCTCTGTGAAACTGGCCGTAGCTCGGTGATCCGTGACCCGAGGTTCGTTCGTCACCTCATGCTCTGCGGCCAAGGACCGTGCAATGCAGGAGTGCAGCCTGAATCGTCATCCCTCAGGTGTGGACACGATTAGGAACAGGAAAGTGTTGTCATAGGCAGTGGACATAACTTTTGCGGAACGATATATTGTCGTCCTGTAGTGTCTTTCATTGTCAGCGAGACGCTACATGGAATTAAAATGGCGAGCGGCTCTCCCGCCGGAATCAGTGGGGGAAACTGTGGTCAAATCTTCTATTTTTGGAAGCCTTCCATTTTTGGAAGGACCTTCCATAAATGGGTATGCATTTTCCAAAAATGGAAGGCTTCCAAAATTGGAAGGTCTAATCTCAGTGTTCCCAACTGTGATTCACATTCTTTGATTTAAGTTACGGCCTTTTTAAATGTGTAACATTAATAGTTGATTTTGCCATTTATGATCATTGATATAAGGAGAAGCAGCAGTGCTAGTGTTGGTAATACAGGCATGCTATGTCAATGTACATAGTGATATAATAGCATGGTGTCCTGGCGCACTGCTCTCTTTTCTACTTCTAGAGGACACATAGAAATTCAGAAGAGAAAACAGCTGGTCAATAACCAACCAGGAGGAACACAGCTATAGCCCTGACAAAAAATGGTTTAAATTAAACTTACTATTCCTCATATAAATTGAAGATTCATGCTCCTTCGATAGAAAGTAACACGAAAAACGGCGCAGCAACGCCTATTTAATTCGTCCCATATTCCGGAAAAAACATTGAAAAATGACGAGACCTCCACCCAAATGTTTGGCAAAAGCCTTAAAAAATTGAAATCAACCACACAATATGCTAATAAATGCAGAAAACGGCAACAAATACAAGTTTTACTCGCCACTACACTCCCGAAACCGCCGCACTCTGTCCAGACAATTCCGCACTGTAAATAAAGTCGGCGGTATCGAACAAGCATGGCCCGTCACTAAAGTACTTTTAAGGATATTTACTTTTCGTTTTTGATGCTTTTTGCTTACAAAATGTTTGATAAAGTCTTATAAAACCATCGTTTGTCGGTAAATTTTTGTCAATTTTCCACGACTCATTACTTTGAAAAATTACCTAAAATACATCCACGCTAGGATTTAGGCATCCACGCTAGATTATGGACACTTCACTATGGCGAATAGAAAGCGACCAGGGGCGATAGTCGCATTTGCCTCATGTTCGGCGGAAATCGGTAAGTTCCAACATATGCGCAACATTTTCTATATTTGGGTACGATGACGTCGTCAGCGTACCCATTTTTGGAAGGTGCGTACCCATATATAGAAAATCCTTCCAAAAATGGAAGGCTTTCTAAAAATGGAAGATTTGACCACAGTTTCCCCGACTGGAATGGTGAGCGTCCTTCTCTGTCAAACGCGGCGCTAGTTTCCGCCTAAGCTCCGCTGGCCCGCTCGACTGCTATGTCATGCGGCACAGTCTACAAGTACAGGTGACCGGTCGCGAGATCGGAGCTCCGTAGCACCGAGCGAGTGTGGCGAAGGTGGGGGTATTCACCGCATCAAACCTACAGGTCGCCTGGACCCTTATCTTGAGACCAATAGTACAGATGTGCCAAGTACGGACCCTCGGACTATGGAGAGGGGCGCCCCGTTAACATTGCAACACAGCTGTGCGAGTGATTGGCGTTCGCCGTGTAATTACCGTTCTACTTTTAGAGTATCTAAATTGCAACACCACAGCTGCGCCTTTTTCAAAGCTCTGTTCCGATCAATATCAAGAAGACCTTTGGTATCAATGTAGATTAATGCTGAAGGTCTTTATTGCATGTCGAGCACAGCTGAAGCACATCTGCACCCGTTGAATCCCTAATCCTAATCTTAAAACACACACTGCCTGCTCACAATTATCGCCTTTTCCATGTCTAACTCTTCACTTCCACCTGTCTGCACGACCATCCGATGCTCTCCTTTAATGTTCGTAGGCCCAGAAATACCATCACGCTTCCCCTCTCTAACCCCTCCTGTTCTACCTCGGTCCTCAGATCCAGAAGACTCCTCTAACTTCTCCCCTTCCACCTCGTTCCGCAGGTCCAGAAGAGCCTGGCCACGATGCTGGACCGGCCGTACGTGCTGCCGGAGCCGCACGGTGTGGTTCTGGTGATGGGCGCCTGGAACTACCCCCTCCAGCTGAGCCTGGTTCCCGTCAGCGGCGCCATCGCTGCCGGCAACTGCGTGGTCATCAAGCCGTCGGACCTGTCCCCGGCCACGTCTGCCTTCATCGCCGACACTCTGCCGCGGTATGTGGACAGCCGCTGCTTCCCGGTGGTCTGCGGAGGAATTCCGGAGAGCACGCAGCTGCTGGAGCAGCAGTTTGACTACATCTTCTACACGGGCAGCAGCGCAGTGGGCAAGATCGTCCGCGAGGCCTCCAACAAGCACCTGACGCCCGTCACGCTCGAGCTCGGCGGAAAGAGGTCAGTTCAGTGTGGGCCTGTGGGGCAGGGACGGACTGTGACGCGAATCGAGGGAAGGAAGAGAGGCATTAGTTAGGTATATGTGATAGCTTGTGAGCTTTTTGTTATCGCGTGCCGCAGTACTTTTGGTGTTAGATACCCGTCAATGCTGAAAATTGTGTAGAATTAATCTTAGAAGTTTCCGTATCAATTTGTTTGCTTGGTGCTTTGAGGGGTGCACTAAAGTGCATGTAACGGGCATCGGGTGGTTAAATCGGTGTGATCTAAAAGCATGCATTTACTTTTTATGCTCGTATGTTTATCTATATATCGTTTAATCCTACCCTCGTTTTTATCTAACAGACGTTGAATATTCTTTTCCTCGCCATCTTCCTGGGAACTCGCGGCATCTGATCTAACCATATCTGATCTCTCCCTCTCCAGTCCTGTCTGGCTGGACGAGACGGTCAACATGGACTACGCGGTGCGCCGGATCCTCTGGGGCAAGGTGATCAACCTGGGCCAGACGTGCATCGCGCCCGACTACCTGCTCTGCACCAAGGCGACCGAGGCGCGCTTCCTGGCCATGGCCAAACAGGTGCTCAAGGAGTGGTTCGGGGACAAGCCGGAGGAGGCGGTAGAGCTGGGGCGTATCGTCAACCAGCGACACTTCGAGTGAGTGTTGGACTGGGGAGAGAGGGAGAGATGATGGGAGGGGTGGAGAGAGAGAGAGAGAGAGAGAGAGAGAGAGAGAGAGAGAGAGAGAGAGAGAGAGAGAGAGAGAGAGAGAGAGAGAGAGAGAGAGAGAGAGAGAGAGAGAGAGAGAGAGAGAGCGAGAGAGAGAGAGAGAGAGAGAGAGAGAGAGAGAGAGAGAGGAGAGAGAGGCTGACGAAAGAGTGAGGTAATAGCGACCTAAAGGGAGAGGCGGGAGTTGGTACGAGGAAGAGTTGTGTGAGTGAGCTCGAGTTGGTACCGGCCGGGTAGAAAAAGGAAATAATCCTTCTTCGTGATTTGGATGTCGGTAGACATTGGTAGGATAAGTAAATGTGAGGAAGCTTTAAATTTCAGATGTGAATTGACTTTTAAGATTATGTTTGGGGCCTGAATGTTGGATGCTATCGGAATAAGTTTGAGGATACTTTTGCAGGTGATAATGATGAAAACTTATTTGAGTTGAATTGCGGTAGGTGCACTAAATGTTTGCTGAGCTCAAGAGTGGCATTAGTGGGACAGACACGACTGTATGAGAGGCCATTATCGTTCAGCCATTGGAGGGCATGAATTGCCTAATGCCTAACCCGCCGTTGTTGAACCGAGAATCAGATAGACCAATCGACTCTGTATTGAGGGCCGGTGATGAAATACCATGTTTGTCGTTCGACTGTGGCTCTATGACAGCCCTCAACTTTGGTGCTCGAACTGAGGAGCACGTATCGAGTAGCCACTGATACTGAGGATATACCAGCTGATAGTCCGTCTCGAACCATCAGGCGACGCTACGTCGTGGTGACATTCCGGTTTCGTATCCGGACAGCCCGATTTAGAACGGCTTAAGTGCATTCTCCAGCTTTGATATCATGACTTACATGGTGTACAATTATTACATTGGTACATATTGTTCATCTTAACGATGACCAATAGTTTTAAATCTTTCAGTCTGGAGATGAATGACTACTCTCATGTCCTATGGTTTCATTTATCTCCCCCTTTTTCTTTATCCCCCTCGTTCATTCATTTTCGCCTGCATTCATTTCCCCCTATTCATCCACCTCCCACGATTTCTTTTCACGCAACCCATCAGTCACCCATCCCCACCCTCCCCGCGGCCGCCTTCCACAGACGCGTGAAGAAGCTGCTCGAGTCGTCTGGTAAGGTGGCGCTGGGCGGCCGCTCCAACGCCAAGGACCTGTTCATCGAGCCCACCGTGCTGACGGACGTGAAGCCAGACGACTCTGTGATGCAGGAGGAGATCTTCGGCCCCGTGCTGCCCATCGTTAACGTCCAGTCGGCCGCCGAGGCCATCCACTTCATCAACAGCCGGTAAGACGTGGGGACGGACAGGATGGAAGGGAGAGGAGGGAAATGTACGGAGTTGTGGGAAGGGAAACGTTGGGAGGGAATGTTTGGGTACTGGTGGGGTGAGGATTGAGTTGTGCGTAGGTTGAACTCATTGAAGAGAGGTTGTGGGTAGTCTTGGGTACTGTGTGTAAATCCTGAATGGCTAGGGGGAGGGAGCTTGGGGAGGGAAGTGTGTGTGCCTTGGGAGGGGGGCGGGGTGGTGTGAATACTGACGAGTTTGAGGAGGGTTTGTGAGAAGTTGAGCAGGGCAATTAGGTTGTTGTCTGTGAGAAGTTGATGTTGGTAAGGCTGTTGTCTGTGGGAAGTTGAGGAGGGGCTGTGAGAGTTGCTGGGGGCGGGGGGGGGGTCTGTTGGAGGAGTGTGGGAAATTCGCGAGAGGGAGGGGAGGGTGTAGCTCTTTTTTGTCTGGGAAGGGATATTCGGTTTGTGTAGCTTTTGAGGGAAGTTTAAGCTCAAGTGAATAGTAAATGCCGTGTGAGGGAATGGTAGGATCCCTGTTGAGTGTTGGGGAGGTTGACTTGGATGCAGGATGATGAGTGACCTGTTTGTTGTGTTGATTGGGTTGGTAGATAAGGTGTTCTTTGTTGGTACGAAGTCTCAGTGATTTCCACGCAGTGTGTGCTTTGTTCGGCTGGGGGTGGATCGTTGTGCTACTGACATGTATCTAGTGTGTATTGGTGTCATTTGACGGCCGCCAGGTCCCCGATTGCTGCCTGCTGTTTTTCCCACCTATCTACTGACGGCATGACGTGTCTGTGGCTGTTTGTATATCAACAGATGCCAGCTGTGACTTTGTTTTTGGCAGTTGCTCATGTTCCGTCGTAGTATCTAGATACGTGTCATGATTGTTCAATGTAAATTGTACGAATGTTATTGATGTCTGTTGATTGCAATGCGCATCCGCATGACATGTTACGTCCCATTTTTCATATTCAACTTAGTTTCATCACAGCTCCGTAGGAAGCACTGGCATCTGCCATCAACTAAGCTGAAATAACGCAGTTCTACTGCCACTAAGTCACTGTTTTCACTTATCTGCTTCTTAGCCTGTATATATTATGGTGAAGGCTCAGCTACTCTTTCTATAAACTGCATCTGAATATAGCATCGCTGTCTCCTCCCTCACTCTTTCTATCGGTGACGGCCGTCTCAGCATGTCTCCTGACCGAGACTCTCTCTCTCTCAATCTCCGACTGTCCCCCAAATATCACTGTCCCGGGGCCGACCTTGCAGAGACAAGCCCCTAGCGTTCTACATTTTCACCAAGGACAAGTCGACAGAGACGCTGCTTCTCAAAAACACTACCGCCGGCGGCGTGACTGTCAACGATACTCTGTTCCACATCGGAGGTATGTCACGTCACGTGACGGGTACGCGCGTCACGTCACTGCTGCTGGTGACGTCTGTGACGTCCGTGACGCGTCTGGCGCCCGGGTGACGTCACAAGTGACGTGCCCCTGTCGATGGGGAGGACGAGAGAACGAGTGATGTCCGCTAGAACTGCATGGCTTCTGTGCTGCATGCTGCATGCACTGTACGCTTCTTATGCTGCATGCTCTGCACGCTTCTTCACTGCACGCGTCGCTTATGGTTGGTTTTCTGTCATTGGTGCCGTGAATTCAGCTGGAGGGTTAGTTTGTCTGTGCTGTGGGCAGTCGGTTCAGGAATTGTTTGTCTGATCGAGGGCAGGTCGCTCAGGATTTGTGAAGTTGTGCTTTGGTTTGTCGTACTCATCTGTCAATCCTTGATCCCACCGGGTGACTTCGTTTGATAAGCTGGGAATCGTTTTTTTCTGATATTGTGTCCAATCATTCCAAATTCTTAACCCGTTTCCTTTAGCATGGGCCATCTGTTCTAGCATTGTTTACACTCTGAGTTGTCGGATAAATTAATTAACTGGTTTATCAGTTCCGCCTTACAGTTATCGCATTCCTTTGCCAAATGGCGTCTTTACTCAACCGACTTCTATTCCCTCCCCAGTCTCCCATATCCCAATCTCTCTGTGCTGCGTTCTTCAGTGCTCTGTCCCTACTGTGTGTATGGTCAGTGTCGGTGACAGGTCCCCGTCTGTATATATATCTGTGTGTGGGCCCGCAGGCCCCTTGTGTGTTCCGTGTGTGTCTGTGGGGCCTAAGCCGGGACTAGGAGGGGCAACAGAGCACCGGCTGACGCCTGCCGCGTGCCCATCTACAGAGAGCGCCCGCTGGCGGCCTACATTTTCACATCGGACGCCGACACGCACCAGAGGATGCTTTCCGAAACCTCATCCGGTGGCATTGTCTTCAACGAGACGCTGATGCACTACGGAGGTAACGCTTTGTGCCATAGTCTGTGATATAGCGCCATCAGGGGGTAATAAAATCCCCCTTTCGACACACCTATAGCAATGTACAGCTGGGATAGTCAAAGGTAAGGATTGAACCTTCAGCAGGCCGTCTCTATCATCAGGTAAACTAAGATAGTATTGTCAGTGATGGATTTCAACGAACTTCTGAAAGCTTGGTGCGCTGTATGTAGATACAAAAACGGAAGATGCGGCGGCAACAAGGCATACGATCCCGGCGACTAAAGATGATTCGTTTGCACCTTCCCGCTGACGCCAAGGATCTCGCTCGCAGCTGTAAACAAACACCTAACGCAGACGTGCTGAGAAAGCGCAGTGAACAGCAAAAGAAGAGAGCTGACTGAAAGGAGAGACGACGCACGTTACTTCGTACCCGAACATTAGTGTAAAGACGTCTAAAGCTCGTTCATATGTAAGGGAGCTGAGAGATGTGCAAACCGCGGAGATAGCATGGAGTGGAGCTGAGTTGGAAGCTGTTTGTGCGACGCCAGCGAAACACAGAACGAGAGACCGTGGTCCAACATTCGTTTTACACAAGAAGTTTTGCAGATGTAGTCGTTTTTGTGATCAAGAGTCGTGGCTGTCGAACTGGAGATCTTTGTCAGCGCTTTGTTGCGATAAAGAAGGAAGCATTTTGCAGGCTTGAAGCATTCTTTACTACATTTCCAGTCATCACTCTTCATATATTCTGCCGTACTCCAGCGCTGTATATATTTTGCTCTTCTGTTTACTATCCTTTTTGCAGTTATAATTCGCTTATAAAACACAACTGTTAGGAACTAGTTCCTCCTACCCTAAATTTCACATCATAGGAAAATACTTCATCCCTGCACACATCCTCCAGTTTACATGTTTACAAGTTTCACGATTTTTCAGTGACACAACAGGCACGCCATTCCCATGCACACCAACCCGCACCAACCTGGTCGAGCCCACCACCTCCCTCCCTTACCTCCAATCACACTGTTGCGTCCGCGCGGCCTCCAACACCCCCTATCTGCTGTAGGCCGTCCCCTCTGGCGCTGTACTCGTTCAGCAGCAACTCGGGCGTCAACGAGCGCTTCGTCAGGGACACCACGTCAGGAGCGGTCACCATCAATGACGTGCTCGTGCACATGGCAGGTATGGTGCTGTGACGTGGGAGAGAAGGGAAGGAAGGACGTTTTTGGGGCTTGAAGGATGTGTTAGGCTTGAAAGAGAAGGATTTGTTGAGAAGTGTAAAGTTGTGGGCCGAAACTGAGAATAGAATGAAATGTGGTTGAGTGATTCAGCAGATTCACACATCGGATCCTGCGCATGACAAAGAAGGTAGGTATGTGGCTTCTCATACGCTCGAGCTATATCTAACTTTTCAACAAGCTTTGGACCGGCTGCCGATTGATAACCACTACTATGCTAGGCAGTAGGCACTGTAATTTTTTAATGAATTGCGTGCGCCAAACCGGACAGCATGCTCATTGCTCACCTGGATGCGAGTTATCCTATGGATGAGGATGAGAGGATGCATCGTGTGGGTTGATGCGTAAATTGTGATTGATTTTAGTCACGCTTGATAATGTATTTGCTGTGACCCGGTTCGGTACTGTGCCAGGCGTTTGTAAAAGTGTAGGCAATGAAGGCTGCGTTCAGTGACGGCATTTTAGGGAATTGATGGCTCATTTTGGCGTGAAAATTGTTATATTTGATGTGGTCTTGTATCATATGTACCTACTAGACCATTTAGATTTATACCTAGATTGTGGCTCCAATTTTGCAATTACGTGTATACTACCGTAACCTAACACCTGTGACATTTGCTGCAAGTATTGGTCGATAGGGCGTTCCACACGATTTAATTTTACCCTGTATTGTTTCGGTAACACCCGGTTTTCTCCATCGCCGACACTGCTCAAAGTTCTTTGAATAATTATTATTTTGCCTCCACAGCACCCTTGTAATCTTGTTACCTTGTCAACCCTTACCCAGAAATGTCACTAATGCGTAATGCTTCTCGCTCTGATGATAATTCTTATCGTGGCTATCAACATTTTTGTGATGTTTACTTATCCAGTTTTGATAAACCATGGTGCATTCTCAATAAACATTTCATATTTTTAGTTGATTATTGTTGTCCAAGCAAGGTCAATCCAAGTGACTAAATCTGAACTACCCGGTCTGAAGCCTAATACCAGAGCTGTAAACAGCTATAATAGCATTATGCACCCTCGTTCACCTAAACAGTCCGTACCATTGCTGTCCGCTGACCCCTCGTGACCCGAGCTGACCTCCCGTGACCCGAGCCGACCTCTCTGTGACCTCTCCGGTGACATCTCTGGTGACCCGACCACCCCCAGTTGAGGAGCTGCCGTTCGGTGGCGTCGGGATGAGCGGCATGGGCGCCTACCACGGCAAGTTCTCGTTCGACACGTTCACACACTACAAGCCGGTGCTGGAGCGCGGCTTCAACCCCCTCGTCGAGAAACTCTGCTCGTGAGTTATGGCTCGTCCGCCGGAGAGGGGGAGGGTTGATAGGGAGATATCGGATTGGAGACGTTCGAGTGAAAGGGTGTGGGTTGGGGTGGTACGGTGATGCCTGATCCGTAAGTTGTGTTTACGAGCTAATTGGCGTATTCGGTGATTAAGCTGCTTTATATTACATTACATAGAACTTAGAAGCCCGGTACATTACATAGTGTTGTGATATAAGCCAACATCCTATGTGAGTTTTCTCACTGCAGGTAGGTCTAAATGTTTTGCCAACTGCCAGCCATGGTTCATACTCAAAGCATAATTTCCCGCTGAATGACTTTTGTGTATCTCTCTCATACCGTCTTACTGTCCTGTCAGCACACTGACCCCTCCCCCTCTCCCCGACAGGGTGCGCTACCCGCCGTACACGCCGCAGAAGATGGAGCGTGCCAAGAACCTGCTGAAGAACCCCAAGCTGCCCAGCCTGACGCCCCTCAAGTACCTGTTCACCTTCGGAGTGGGCGTGGCTTCCGTGTTCGCGCTCAAAGCCGCTGCCAAGGTCAGTTCATGGTCCGGGGTCAAGGTCATTTTAGGTCGAGAACAAGGTGACGAGGCTACAGTCTGGAAAACCTGATATGGAAGGATGGGATGCCGGCGGGCTCCCCGGATGTGATAATGTTGATAAATGGCTGTAATTTGTTGTTGATATCCACAACCAGAGCCTAGTCCTGCTGAATGCGTACGCTTGTGCTATGCCGAATACTCACATTGTCCCTTATTTTGTGCCGCAGCTTTTCCGATGAGTTCACTATAAGAATGGCGAGTATCATAAACTGGTTTAATCTCACTTATATTTAGTATTGCGTAGCACGTTTGCTGCTCAGTGCTAACGCTTGAAATTGTCAGTTTTTATTTCTCTCGGCGGTATCTTCTCACGTTTTCCCTTCTTCTGAGCATTACGATTAATTTAAAATTGTATGCAGGTGTTTTGCCGACTACCGCAACCTGTCCTGCATTGTTTCTCTGGCCGCTGATTTTTAGTACCGCAACCTCAGTAGAGTTGACCTTTAGCTTTTCTTTGACCTCTATCTGACCCTTACTGTATCCCGTTCTCAGAGGTTCGGTTTCGACGACGACCTGCCGTACGTGCTGCAGTGAGACGGGTCCGACGGGCGCCTTCGGATCCGTCGTCGCCACCCCGACCTCCTCTGGCGACCGCCGGGCCGGGACCAGTGGAGCCGCCGGGGCCGGGCCAGGGCAGCGCGCAGTCTGGGACAGCTGGCGTGGGCTGAGACTGGCTAATGTGGCGGTCCCGCTGCTTAATTTGAGCGGAGCAGAGGCTGAGTCAGTGCCGTCTCGCCGCGATTTTGCTAGAATTCTCCCTCTTCTGGGCGTGTGTCCATAAAAATGAAGACTGCCGGTTCCGCCCTGGTCTCGTGGCGCGGGGTATTTCGACCAAGATCACCGGGTCTGTTAGATTTTAGTCAGTTATTTTAATGTAACTTGTTCTACCTACGGTGTAAATAGGTATCACTTTAGAGCGTATAGCATATATGGATGCAAGATGTGATCTTCAGGCGGTGGGAATCGAGGTTGCGACATTTATTTTGAATGTGCTGTGTAAGTGGAGCGTTTGCTGAGTTACATTTCTACAGACGCCATTGCTTTGATTTGCTACGATCACTTTTAGGGATATTTTTCTATGTCCATTGTCCAAAGATTATCACTTGAAAAAACTGGCGATGATAAGTAGACTATAGGTACTGATGCCATACAGTGTCATAGATACGTGTTATACTGAGCGTAACTGTTCCCAATCTTTCACTGGCACGCGTCGTACTCTGGACGCCCTCGCCCCTTCCCAAACACCAGCCTAGATAGTAGTGCAATTCCCGAATTTACGGACTCCATAAGTTCAGCTGAACTGAGTTATCTTATTGCATGTGATTGGTCCAGCGATTTTAGTTCAAAGCCTTCGTTGTTGATTGCTTTGTGCATCGTGAAATGAAATAAATCGATGTTTTCAGCGTTCATTCGCGTTTTTGTAGTGAATGTGGCATGTGAAAGGCGTGGGACCTATGAAACGGCAGGCTGATGAGTGATGACACCTCTGAAGTCTGACGTCATGTGGAAGGCCTAAGCGATCATCACTCCGGATCAGTAGCCTGGAAGGTTGAAAACCGAAGGGTACTTTTATGTTTTCTTACGCATTCTGTTCCGTTACCGTGTCACGTAAGATACCATCACCGTTTCCCCTGTATGAATCATGTGCTACCTATACATTTATTGCAATTGCTGACTGTTATCGGCTATCGCTGTCCCCAAGGCATTCTTTTCGAATAACCTCAGAGGCAACTCAGAGGTGCAAGTTCGGAGAATGACGAGCTTTGAGCACAATTTGCATCTCTAGTTCCCATTCCACCCCTGCGTTTACTCGAGACGATATATGGCGCACTCTGTTCAGCTGGTCTATTACATAGCACCGTGAGCGGCTCTGAGAAAAATAATTTCTTGTCGTTTTTCTTCTCATAAAAAATAAAAATACCAATATGTTATGTGTTGTTACCAATAGGTATATTGTGTTGCATAAAATCAAAAATTCTGAAAATAAACTTTGAAATAAAAATAGTTATAAACTCAGAACATTTAGTGTACATCAAAATAATTTTGTCATAATGGTTCTATCAACTTTATACAAATATAGCATTGGTACAAATGAATCAAAGCGTTGTTTCCCCGAGTGCGCGTCTCATATAAGATTTTCTCCACGTTTTCTGACTTTTGAACAATAGGAAAGCCTTTTATCGAAAATATACAATGATACAAATAAGGGTAAAGTAAGCTAGTTAGTGTCTTCTCAGTAATTTTGTAACCTAAAGTGAGCACCGGCATAATAATCAGCTGGCGAATTCTACGCATGTCTGTTACCTTTCATACATTGCAGGGAGATACCGAATTCCCACGAGTTTGAAGTGCTAGGTCATCGCGCTGGCTGCTGATTGTATTCTTGCGAATCCGAGAGTGGGTGGGCTTTGCTGCTGCTTTGTTGCCCACTTTTTGTCATTGTTTGATCCGCGAGATCATCATTGATAGTTGTGCGGCAGGGGTAAAGGTCAGACGTATTGCTGTGTGCGTTAATTGGTAAGCATTTATGATTTAGGTTGGTGATGCATCTTTTTCCAAAACCCATTTCAATTTCAATTTGGCTGCAACACTGCTGTTATGATGGCAACATGCTGTAGTAATTCAAGTTTAACTTAAGTCTGAAAACATCATGCTACAGTACAAACAGAAATTGCAAACAAACCATTGAAAATAACAACCTATTGTCATTCTTGTGTGCAACTGCTCGCTGCTCAGCAGCATCAGTCTTGAGGAAATATAGGTACAAACCCTGTCTGTCCATGTGTCTTAGGGCTCATAGCAAGTGTCCTCTGGGCTCATAGCAGCGCGAGTCACTGAATTACCCAAAAACAAATACGTGTAATAGTAATTAAAAAATTAATTGCCTACAGAGCCTTATAATTCACAAGCTACAAGAATTTGAAATAATGCTAGAAAAATGCCACAATGTGGGTTTTGATCACCAGATATACGTGTATGTCCTCAGGCCACCTGTGACCTCAACCTGCCCCAAACAGACACCATCCTAATTATTCCTAACTGGGCAGCACATGTAATTTGAGCCTTGGGTGCTAATGCCCCCACTCACCCTGCACTCCACAGCACCCAGAGAACAGAATTGATGACATGTTGCTTTTCTAGCGAAGAAAGAAAAGTTAGAAGTTAACTTTAAAAAAAAAAAAACTTAACGACTTTGACTGTGAAAACTTCACTTTTACAGTAGTACAGTAATGTATAATGAATAAAATCCATTTTTATTAAAGGCACTTTTTACCTATTTGGTATATGTCTGTATCTCCCTGTATTTGTCTCTGTGTGAGTTAGGTCTATCACTTGCCTTGCTACCCTCCTCTGTTGGGTTTCCTTGCTAGATAGGATTGGGAGAATAGGTGAGGGAAGTTGTGTTAGAAAAAAAGATGTTTTATTGTCTTTTTTCTCTCTCTCTCTCTCTCTCTCTCTCTCTCTCTCTCTCTCTCTCTCTCTCTCTCTCTCTCTCTCTCTCTCTCTCTCTCTCTCTCTCTCTCTCTCTCTCTCTCTCTCTCTCTCTCTCTCTCTCTGTCTCTCTGTCTCTCTGTCTCTCTGTCTCTCTGTCTCTCTGTCTCTCTGTCTCTCTGTCTCTCTGTCTCTCTGTCTCTCTGTCTCTCTGTCTCTCTGTCTCTCTGTCTCTCTGTCTCTCTGTCTCTCTGTCTCTCTGTCTCTCTGTCTCTCTGTCTCTCTGTCTCTCTGTCTCTCTGTCTCTCTGTCTCTCTGTCTCTCTGTCTCTCTGTCTCTCTGTCTCTCTGTCTCTCTGTCTCTCTGTCTCTCTGTCTCTCTCTCTCTCTCTCTCTCTCTCTCTCTCTCTCTCTCTCTCTCTCTCTCTCTCTCTCTCTCTCTCCATAGATGCTGGCTACCATCTCTTTGTATTTGTCTTTCTCTCTGTATCCACTTGTCTGAATATTTGTCTTAATCTGCCTCTCTTTCCTTTTGCCTCCCTACTCAAACCTCAAAGGGATCAATATTCAGTTGTGATATCTTAGCCTTTTCAGTGGTCGACATGTCAGGTTTGGGCAGTTTAAACTAATATTGTGTTTGAGAATGCCTGCCAATGCATGATAATTTTCACATGCCAATCAGCATTATTTTTCAGAGGTAGCTGTGTCTCTGATTCTGAGGAAGTGATAGCAAGCTTGTTGCTATACATTCCACGTCAGATCAAAATGCCTAGCTTCACTGGTAAGTGTACAAGATTCAGCAAATAAATCTATAACATTGCTAAGGATCCCTGGACAGTTAAATTTTGTTCTTTTTCCCATTTATTCTTAAAATATTTGTGGATCATTGGGCATTTCATTGTTGTGCTACACCTGAATTAGGTAATTCAGTTATTGCATGCTCAATCTGTAGAGTATTCTTTTCTCTGTAGGTCTGTGTTTTATGTAGGATTCCATGATTTACTGCTGTAATGTCAGCTGACTTGCCCAGCCATATATCTCTGCTGACCGGCCACACCCCGCCTCCTGCAGTGAAGGTGAAATGGGGGAAGGAGCTGTTCAAGGACGTGGAGCTGAACACAGACGAGGAGCCGGTGGTGTTCCGCGCTCAGCTGTTCGCGCTAACCGGCGTGCAGCCGGACAGGCAGAAGATCATGCTGAAGGGCATGACGCTCAAACCGGATTCGTGGGATAATGTCAAACTGAAGGATGTAAGTGGAATAAGAGTTTGATGGGTGCAACTCAGGCAGTGACTGTAGGACTGCTGAGTGTCTCGTTAAATTAAAAAAAAAAATGTTGTAATGAATTTGATTAAATCGTTATTCGTGAAATCGGTAATAGTTAAATCGATATCTAGCGCAAACACTAAATTCCCGACATTTTGTCGTATTTACTTTCTCAATGGCTTCTAAAAAAATCAGAACTATCTTTTGTCTCGTTGAATGATCTTGTAAGTGCTGATTTTCAGGCAACACGTGACAGCACATTGCTGTTCACGCTGCTGAGCTGTTTCACCAACGTCGCAATACTCTATAATTTCACTCTTTAACCCCCACACCTCACACACTCCTCGTCCCCCTCCCCAGGGCATCACACTGCTGATGATGGGGAGCAAGGAGGAGGACATTGCCCAGGTGCCGGCCGAGCGGACAAAGTTTGTCGAGGACATGACGGATAGTGAGCTTGCCACCGCCCTGGAGATGCCGGCCGGTCTCACCAACCTGGGAAACACCTGCTATATGAACGCCACAGTGCAGTGCCTGAAGTCGGTGCCGGAACTCGCAGAGGGTCTCAAACAGTTCAAGAGTAATTATGGTGAGTAGGAGCGGCGGTTAGGAGGGGGAAGGGATATTGGGACTGGGCTACCTTAAAAATGAATGGAGAAACAAGACGCCAATATGTTGGATTGAGTTCGAGTTGTTTGACAACGCTATCGAGTTGTATCGATGTCGAAGGATCAGTTGATATTGTTGGTTAGTGAAACTAAAGATGTAATCTCAAAATCATGACGATCTGCAGTCTCTCCGACTGTGCCTCACTCTTCCCTCCCCCTCCCCATCGTACAGGCGCCGAGGGCGGTTACGCGCAGGCGGTGACGTCTGCGCTGCGCGACCTCTACTCGAGTATGGAGAACGTGGCCTCAGTGCCGCCCATCATCATGTTGAACGTGCTACACACGGCGTTTCCGCGGTTTGCCGAGCGCGGCGAGCAGGGCGGCTTCCAGCAGCAGGTGCGGGAACGCTGTGCATGGAGGGGAAGGGGAGGGGAGGGATCGACACTCAACAGGGAGGTGGGTGTGTGGATGAGGCAAAGTCGCTTGGAACTCACGCGTGTCGAAACTCGCTGGGTTATGAATAATGAATTAATTATTAATGTAACCGGGGGCCGCGGGTATTAAACTTTATGGAAGTCTGCTTTAATATCAGACAGATGACTGTCTTCACTATAAATTGCTCATTTACGTAGCAGACTGGGGCGTCTTTGCGTCATCTCGTGCTATATTATCCACTCGTGCTATCCGGCGTCGTTTACTGGAATGACAGCGAACGGGGGAGCCTGTCGGAACCTGACATTACTCTCCCACCCGACCCCAGGACGCCAACGAGTGCTGGACAGAGCTGGTGAGGATGCTACAGGAGAAGTTGAAACCCCGGCAGGAACAGGGACCCGACGGCCAAATGGTGCCTTCAAAGTGAGTGAATCAGGTACCCTTTATTTCCCGTTCTCATGGGATGGAGGATGTTTGTTGCTATGGTTACGATACATATTGTGACAAAATCGGTGTTTCCACGCCCTGGCATCTTGTGCTCATCTTCCTTGAATCACATCACTCAGTCTCTCACGCATTGTGTCAGTTTTGTGTCTTGTGCCACATTACACTTCTTTCACACAGCGTGGGTGGCTCATGCCACTCAGCCCTAACCGTCCCCACCGCCCGTCTGTCTGCGCACCCCTGTAGGTACGGCTCGCTGATCGACCAGTACTTTGGCGGCGTGTTCAGCTCCGAGCTAAAGTGCGTCGAGTCTGACGAGGAGCCCGTCACGCGGTCCACGGAGAAGTTCCTCCAGCTCAGCTGTTTCATATCGCAGGACGTCAAGTACCTTCACACCGGGCTCAAACTGGTGAGATTCCCCGGGCTTAGGCAGCTGTGGTTTGGGAGGGAGGCAATTTCAGCTCGTGCTGAGAATATGGTGATCGTCTGAACTGAGCACGATTGTCGTAGTAGTGTGTAGGACCATGCGATTTGGAGACCCAAGTGTCTTAGAGATATATCTTCTTAGAATATCTTAGAGATATTCTTAGAGATACATCGTGAGGTGGGTGCATTTTTTTACTATTAGTGTTGCTAGCTTTTTAGTGCTGCCCAGGCATCATTTAAGCGTTGATCATGCCATTCTGGAGAGTTCTCACTTTGCTGGGTCACTTATTAAAATATGCGGATCGCCTGACCCTCGAAGATTTTGGGGCACGCGTTTCTCGGGTACCATTGGATTCATTTCTTTCCAAGTTCTGTGCGAGACCCTCGCTGTCTCCTCTTCCTCCACTGCTAAAAAGGACCACTTCCCACATTTTTGTTCCTCCGTATAGCAGCTGCCTCCTAACTGATCCTCTCTCAGTCACTTCTCGTCTTACTCTCGCCTTCCCCCTGCAGCTCTCCCGTGTTCTAACCCTTTCCTTCCCTTGTCCGATTGCAGCGGTTACAGGAGCAGCTGACGAAGCGGTCGGCCCTGCTGGACCGTGACGCAGCCTACAGCAAGACGTCCCGCATCAGCCGGCTGCCCGCCTACCTCACTGTCCAACTCGTCAGGTTCTTCTACAAGGTAACTACGACGCTACGTACAGATCGGGCGTTGGCGGTTCTGTTAGTAGTAATTCTGTAGGAAGAGTATTTTCTTTAGCGTTATCGACTATAAAGCTACAAGATGCTATACAGGTAACGTTATCGGGGCTCGTGTTCCTCTTGTTTCATTCGATGTTATTTTACCACTCAATCATATTTCGCATATCACCCACCTCTCCCGTCCCATTTCCAGGAGAAGGAGGGTGTAAACGCCAAGATCCTCAAGGACGTCAAGTTCCCCATGTTGCTGGACGTGTACGAGCTGTGCTCGGAGGAGCTGCAGCAGAAGCTGCTGCCGATGCGGACCCACTTCAAGGCCTGGGAGGACCTGAAGGCAGAGGAGGCGCGCGTGCCGGCCAACAAAGCGGCCACGGCGCCGGCGGACAAAAAGGAGGAGGTGGCCTGCGTGCCCTTCAGCTTCGAGGACGGTCAGTGGGGGAACGAGACCGGGTGTGGGGAGGGGGGGCTGGTGGCCTGTGAGTTTGGATAAACGCTTGCACCACATATTAAATATGTCTTGTATTTTTCAATAACATTGACAAACATGTCTAATGTGACGGCCTGGACGTTAACCCGCGAGTTGCTGGGGGGGGGGCGTTAAACGCCCCCACTTTTTTCGCCGGGCCATAGCATAAAAACGGCGCGCCGCAGGCGCGCCAAATTTTGGGTACCTGTAGGGAATTGATTGAAGTTTATCATGACAAAGTTTCAAAAAAATCGGTCGGAAAATTTTTGAGATATCGAGGTTTTAGTGACGTCATGATTTCTGAGTTTTCGACCAAAAACGGCATATGTTCAAAAAATCATATAAAATCACAGAATAGGCATACAGACATGCCGTAAACGCCATTAGACTGCCAATACCATGATCAATCAAATGGCTATCTTCGATTATTGATTATCGTTTCGCATTTTCCATAATCTTGAACTGAATCTTGGCAATTTTTCGTGACTACTTCACGACCATGATTCATGCATTTCTTAAATTGAACTTTTTGAGCCAAACACGTACACATATGATAAAATGAATGTCACCATCGTGTTCTACGCCCCAAATTACACATAAAACATGTGTCACAGGCTGCGAATATCAGTTTTGATTTTCGGGGATATGTGCCTACCCGGTTGACCTGACCTTGACCCTGACCTATGATTGACTGACCCCTACATGGAGCTGACACTCTTGTAGGCCTTATATCAGTGGTCGGCAGGTCATTCGGGGTCGTGCCCCCTTTTTGGGCGCCAGGCAGGGCCATTACCCCCACCTACCAGACCCCATTGCTGACACAACCAAGTTTACTGAAATTCCTTACCGTCCTGGAACTCTTTGGGTATTTGTGCATTTCCAATGCATCAAATTTAAAACATGACACTTGCTCCACAAAACATTTAATACCTATATCCCAGTAGCGGCGGAACACCTTCAATTAAGGGGGGGGGGCCACTGCCGACTTTTGGTCCCATTCTTTCCATGCAACGCCCATAGGGCTAATGTTAAAATGCAAAAATCAAAGGGTGCACGGTGCCCCGGTGCCCTCCCCGTTCCGCCGCCTATGCTATATCCCATTTAACCCTTGTACGTATAGGGGTGGCGGGTGGTTTTTCGTTAAAAGCTCACGTAAAAGGCATTGGATCACGACCAAATTGTACCCTCGAGCCCATCATTTTTTTGTTACCAGCCCGGAAAATATCATGACCTGAGACCACTTTTACCACCAGAAAAATAACCGCCTGCCGGAATTTTTGCCTCAAGACCGCTTCACATACGGAGCGTAAACGCGATGGGCTCGTAAGCGGATAGGGCTTTACCGTTTACGCTCCATATGTGAAACGATCTTTAGGCAAAAAATTCCGGCAGGCGGCTATTTTTCTGTTGGTAAAACTGGCCTCTGGACCCATAATGACCGTTGGCTTATGAGCTTTTTCTGGAGATCATCTTGAGCCATAAAATCTCACTTCAAGAAGTTATAGCGGGTCCCAATTTTCTCGACACTTGTCATTGCCCTCTTGAATGAGACGGAATGACCAAGGACCTTAAAAATGGGCAGCAGCGGCTTCCTATTGTCACGGTTAGCACGCTCGTCTTTTTTATGCACAGCTCCATCTCAGAGTCCGAGAGGCCGCGGGGGTCCGATCGATTCCTCCCCCTTACGTTAGCGGCTGTTGAAACGCCAACAGACGGGCGACGGTTAAAAGTTGCAGCTGCTTTTGTACGACTATACGGAGGGGTGAGATGGTGAGGCGAGCAGGTACGTGAAAATTGGTATCTATGAGTTCGTTTTTTTTCTTCAAAAGGACGCTGGCTCAAAGTGCATTATCGAAGCTCTCACGTGAGTTTTGGCAACTTCAGCGTCTGGCTAAGAATTTCTTGCCGAAAAAAATGATCGATTTCAAATTGTGCTCGGTAAATGGTAAATACATGGAAATTGTGACTTCAAAAATGAGCATACTACGATAGTTAGAGCATACTATGATAGTTATGCGTTGCATTGCAATGCAAGTTCCACAGTATGACGTCACCACTGTTCTCATGTCTAGTTCCAAAACGCAGGCATGGAATTTATCGGGAATAATTCACATGTTAAAATAAGGCGACGTTCGAGTTTCTCAGGTTCAGTTTTTGCCCGTTTTGCTAGCTAAAACACGTGCTTGTTCGAAAAACATACTTGGAGCCAGCGTCCTTTTGAAAAAAAAAACGAACTAAATCAATGTGTGCTGTGCCTTTGGCCTGGGCTAATCTTTGAACCCTGGGATGCAACAGTCACGATGGCCGCTCCATCGCAGGAGCTACAAACTCTAAAAAGATAGGCTTTCTCAGAATCCCTCATTACCCCCACCGAAAGGGCTCCATTACCCCCAAAGGGGGCATGCCCCACCATTTGCCGACCCCTGCCTTATATGATGGATTGTGCACCGTTTTGACAGAGTTTATGACGAGAAGCGCCCATTGCGAAGTCCTGAAGTCCATGCTACTGAAAGCCCGATTTCAGGTGTTTGACCTGACCTTGACCCGACCTGTGACCTCAAAATTCAACTTTAAAGTACTCATCTGAAGCGTCTCGTCGCGCTCTTTCGTTTGCCGCCTCGTGCGTTTCGCTGCGCCTATTGGTTCTCGAGTTATCGGCTGGGGGCGTTTAACGCCCCCCCCCCCCAGCAAACGGTGGGTGGCGAAATACCCCAGCAACTGCCGGGTTAATTTCATTATATTCATTGCGAGACCTAACTGTGCCACACTTTTATTATTAGAAGGTATTTTAGCCGACAACAAAGCGAACGTTACACTTTTTCGGACAGAAGCTATGTTCGGTGTTAGTCGAGTAAAAACTGTTTTCAACATACATTCGTGTTTCCGTTATTCGCCTCGCACGTATTTCAACGTAGCCGTCAATATCACCGTGTTCTCCCCCTGTTTCTCAGACATGGGCTCGAACAACAGCGGCTTCTACGAGCTGCAGGCGGTGTTGACCCACCAGGGACGCAGCAGCAGCTCGGGCCACTATGTCGGCTGGGTCAAACTCGCCACCGGCTGGGTCAAGTTCGACGACGACACGGTCACACCGGTCGAGGAGGCCGACATCCTCAAACTGTCGGGCGGCGGCGACTGGCATTGTGCCTACGTGCTGCTGTACGGACCCCGGCGACTCCCTGTCGAGGCACTAGAGAAGGTGAAGGCAGCAGCGGCGGCGGCAGCGACCACGGCGACAGCAGCGCCCTCTGGGGACAGCGGGGAGAAAATGGAGCAGTAGCGCACCCTGGTGGTGCGCAGGTGGCGCCGCCACGCGGCGAGTCGGCAATACTGGGCCGGCAGTGTCCCAGTCATCAATCAATACATGGTTCTTATTTACGCATTTCTTTGTGGGAAAGTCGTACGTGTGCTTTCGTGCTACTCATGTTTTCCTTCAAAGTACTGATCCGTATAATATGTGTAAGATACTGCATGAGATGATGACTGATATAAATGTTTGGTTTCGAATTTATCGAAGTGGTTCAGTCGAGTCCGAACGACCATTGGAGTGTTTGTTCGAGCAGAAGACATTTAGCCGTATACAGGACAGTGGGCTTTCTATATTCAGGTAACCATAACGAAGCAACCACAGATCGTCTTCGTCCCTGTGTGCAAAAAAAAAAAAAACGAGGGATGCAGCTGTGGCCTATACGGCATCAGCTGCCGGCGCTGCCGTCCCCTCGCTCGGACACCGTAGCGCCACCATACTCCAGACGCAGCTGACTGTCGGGACTGACAGAACAACCCTCCCTTCTCTACAGACCACGGTGTCTTCTACCCTAACCCCTTCCCTCCCCTCCGCTCCCCTTACGAAGGGTGGTAATCACCGTAATCGCCCCCAGACGACCAGTTTCCGTCACCTTCCGCCAGGTGGCAGCTGTCTCCGTCGGGCGGTGGATGGCACGAGCCCTCGGGCCCCAGGGGCGTCGACACCAGTCCGACTTTTCCGACTAGTCGGACCACTTTTTCGACTAGGCGGTGCCCTGCTGTGGCTCGCGGGGGCCCCTGCTGCAGACCGCGGGGGCCCTACTGCGGCTCGGGGGCCCTGCTAGAGACCGCGGGGGCCCTGCTGCGCCTCTGGGGCCCTGCTAGACACCGCGGGGCCCTGCTGCGGCCCGCGGGGTCCCCTTCTGCGGCCGCGGGGGGCCCCTGTTGGGGCTCTCGGGGGGCCCTGCTGCGGCCACGGGGACCCCTGCTGCGGCAACGGGGCCCCCCGCTGCGGCTCGCGGGGGCCCTGCTGCGCCTCGCGGGGCCCTTCTGTAGCTTGAGAGGGCCCTGCTGCGGCTCTCGGGGCCCTGCTACGGCTCGGGGGCCCCTGCTGTAGAATGCGGGGCCCTACTGTGGCTCGGGGGCCCTGCTGGGGCTCGCGGGGCCCTGCTGGGGCTCGCGGGGCCCTGCTGCGACCGCGGGAGCCCCTGCTGTGGCCGCGGGGGCCCCTGTTGGGGCTCTCGGGGGCCAGCTGCGGCCACGGGGGCCCTGCTGCGGCTCGCGGGGGTCCCCGTTGGGGCTCTCGGGGGCCCTGCTGCGGCCACGGGGGCCCCTGCTGCGGCCACGGGGGCCCCGCTGCGCCTCGCGGGGCCCTGCTGCGGCTCGGCCCCCCCCCCCCTGCTACAGAATGCGGGGGCCCTGCTGCGCCTCTGGGGCCCTGCTAGACACCGCGGGGGCCTGCTGCGGCCCGCGGGGGCCCTTCTGCGGCTCGCGGGGGCCCTGCTGCGACCCGCGGGTGCCCTGCTGCGACTACGGGGCCCCTGGTGCGGCCACGGGGGTCCCTGCTGCGGCCACGGGGGCAGCAGGGACCCCCGGGGGCCCAGGTCGACACCTGGGGGCCCCCACCGGTGGGGGCCCCCCGAGAAAAAGTCGGACCAGTTTTCCTTACGCGTCGACGCCCCTTCCTCTATCCCCACGCATCCGGAGGGGGGAGGGAAGACACCAACCGGCGTCTAAACCCAGGCGCGTGCCGCGACCGTGCGCAGTGCTCCCGTCGGGCTCAAGATGAGAGACCGGCTGTTGGTAGAACTAGAGACGTCCCAGAGAGGGTTATGTGCGTCCCTGCTGTGCTGAGGTGATTTTGGGCCACGTGTGTCCCGTCTCTGTCCTGTCAAAGGAGTCAAGGACCTCTCAGCTGTCGGGGTTTGACGGGAAGGGTCAATACGGGTGTTTGAGGCCAGGTGGATGTGTTTTGGACGGGGTGCGAAGTCCTAGGTAGATGGCTAAGGCTTTTCTAGGGGAAGTAATGTGTTTTTGAACTTGTTTGTTTTTATTTCTCGCTGCCCGTCGACGTCGTCCGCATGATGGCAACTAATACTCGGCGCAACTTGAGAAGGTAAATTTACATGGTTTTGAAATTTGAGTTAATCTAAAAAGGACCATAAATAGCAGAATTTCACGTCAATGGCGGATAACATCTTCCGTTTAAAACGGCATTAAGCGTCACACCGCCTCAGTAAAATAGCATGCCGATTCCAGCAATCGAATTTTGTAAAAACAACGATTTCATATTATATATTACAATACTCAAATCGAGGTAAAAAATAACGATTTCTTCCAGGTATTTTGATAGTACTCGTACCTAAAACCGGCCTTCGGTATGTGGTGTGTGCGATGCGCAATTCACCATCGCTTGCTTATAAGTTAATAGTTAGGACCTTGATTTTGACTATTCATTCGCGCCACCGGCCACTTAAGCTGATGGCCAATATAGGTATTCATGCCTAACATCAAATATGTCCGGACTGAGCGGTAGAAATGGAACGACCGCGCAAACCACACATCGCTCGAGGCATGTGCTCATGCAGTACCGTCCCTAACCACAGCCCACATCACACTATCGACGAGATTAACTGCTTGACGATGTCAAAGCCGCGGGAGATCATACTATAACTACACTGATGACTGAGCCGTGTCTTATCACCGATTCACCCAACGAAGACCTCTTCTAGCTCTGCGGTGGAGAGCATGTGGGCTGAACCCGCATCAGCTGCATGAGATAAAGAACGCCCGCGCCGGAAACCCTACCACAGCGACCTCAACAGAACCCGACCCCCTCTCTCTACCCTCCTCTCCTCTCCCCTACCCGCAGCGCGTGCCGGCGCCGACCCCCCACGGAGGTATCGCCCCCTCCACCCCTCGGCATGGAGGGGGGGTGTATTCTGTGCAGCAGATGCTCCCAACGCACCGCGACGAAGATGGGACGAGCAGGATGAGGGGGCGACCGGGGGGAGTGAGGGGAGGGGGGGGGTGATGAACGAGGTAGCTGGCGCCTGGAAAGGAGACGGGGGGTATTTTTTCAGGGGTTCGTGGAAACGAGCAGCACAGACTCCGCGGCGGGTTTTGTCGGATGGGCTGGCATCAGTTAGTGCTCATGATGGCACTGTACTTGTAACACGATGGAAGCAAACGAAACTGAGTATTTGAATGAATGGCCAATGTCCCGTTTATCGTAATAACGACAAAAATAATTGGATTTCAATAATAACGTACGTTTTAACGTTTTTTTTTTTAACGTTTTACAAATAACGTTTTCGGTGGAAGATGCTCCTGCCATGAGGTTTCGCTGAAATGTGAGCTTAGTCTAGGTCAGTATGATTCAATCCCAGTTCCAGACAAGCAACATTCCATGGAAGCCGGACAGTGGACTATTGATGGGTAGCGTGATAGCCCACGGGCGGTCATTACCATTAGGCGACGAGTCGGCGCCAGCCGGCGGCTATGGAATTTAGACACGTCAGACGAAGATGATTCGACGACGGGCAGGTGCCGTTCTGAGAGCTCCCGTCCACACCAGCTGCCCTTCCTCCCTCCCCAGAGCTGCGTCAGCTGCCGCCCGCGCCGCGCCGGTCCGTTGCACGGATTCTCCCACGGTGTTATTTGGCCCGCGCCTGGTGTCGGTACTGCTCGCTGTTTTTGCCACCGGACCAGTCCGTGGAAGGGGCAGGTGGAGCCGTGACGTCACGCTCTGAAGGCAAGGGAGGGAGGGAGGGAGGGAGGGAGGGGGAGGCACTACGGGTCAGGCCCACCTGTCTCCGGGTCGGCAGGATTGGGGGGACAGACACCTGCCCCGCACCTGTCCGGGAACCTCACGCGGTATAAAGGCTGCCGAAGGTCAGGGCCGGTAGGCGAAGGACGAATGGTCGAGAAAGGACGATAACGAACGCTAATGGATCATGACGTTGCGTGTGATAGTGTGTGACCAGTGGCGTATCCAGGGGGGAGGCCAAGAGGCCATGGCCTCCCCCTTTGGCATCAAACATGCAAGTGGGCCCTTTGGGTGCAGTGGCGTACCCAAGGGGGCCATGGGGGCCCTGAGGGGTGCCCTGGTTACCTGAGGGTCCCCTGGTCACCTGAGGGGTCCCTGGTTATGAGGGGTCCCTGGTTATGAGGGGCCCCTGGTTATCTGAGGGGCCCCTGGTTACCTGAGGGGCCCCTGGTTATCTGAGGGGCCCATGGTTATCTGAGGGCCCCTGGTTATCTGAGGGGCCCCTGGTTATCTGAGGGGGCCCTGGTTACCTGATTGGTGCCTGGTTATCTGAAGGACTCCTGGTTACCTGAGGGGCCCCTTGCTACGGGGGCCCTGGTTACCTGAGGAGTGAGGGGCCCTGGTTATCTGAGGGGCCCATGGTTACATGGGGGGCCCCTGATTACCTAAGGGGCCCGTGATTGCCTGAGAGCCCCTGACTTTCTGAGAGGTCCCTGGTTACCACTGGGGCCTCTTGGTATATGAGGGGCCCTGGTTATCTGAGGGGCCCTTGGCTACCTGAGTGGCCCCGCCCTCGTTATCTAAAGGGCCCCTAGCTACCTGAGGGGCCCCTGATCCCCTGGGTGACCCCTGGCCAGTGATCTGAAGAAGCCCTGGTCACCTGAAGGGCCCATGTTTACCCGGGGAGTACCTGGTTATATGAATGGCCCCTGCAGTCACATAAAGACCCTTAATTACCCGTGGAGCCCTTGGTATAACCGTCCCCTGTTTATCAGAGGGTCCCCTGGTCACCTGGTCGGCCCCTGATCAATTGAAAGACCCCTGGTCAATTGAAAGGCCCTGGTCAATTGAAAGGCCCTGGTCAATTGAGAGGCCCCTGATTACCTGAACGGCCCGTGATCACTCGGATTCAATGGTATGGCCAGGGGCGAGGGGGCACGTGTCCGTTATAGGTTAGGGTCCCGTCGGACCCGAGAGGCCCTGCGGTTCCAATTGGCGGCAGACGGCCCGCGCTGGCAACGCTTCAACTGGAAAGGAGACCACAGGGCTTGTGAGAACACCCCATGGGCTCTTGTGTAGCCACACTTATCTCCAGAAGGGCCTCACGCCAGGTTCTGAGGGACCTTGCCGGTCGTGAGGACTC